GGGATACTCTGCAGCGTCTCCCAAAGCTCTCTAGTGGGGCTGAGTCCTGGTTCGCTCAGCGGTCTTCATTCTCTCCTTCCTTTCCCTTCTCCCTCCTCACTCCCTGGCTCGTGTTCCTGGGGTCACCTCCCCAAAAAAGACCTGCACCCACATGCTTGTCTCAGAGTTTCCTTCAGAACGAACCCAGCCTAAGACACTGAGCTCCCAGGGCGGGGTGGGGGTACAGCACACCAAGGAGGTTGCTATAGCTTTTTTCTTTTTTGTGCAAAAACTCAGGTACACGACCCTCCTGAGGCTTGGAACTAAGCAGGTGTGACACCCACTCAGAGGACATCATGGGCTTTAGAATAACAGACATGGATTTGAATCTCTGCTCGACCACTTATTAACAACGAGAACAAACAAAAAGACCCACTGGCAAGTTGCTTAACCTCTCCAGGTCTGGGTTTCACCTTCTGTAAAGCAGACTCAATAATGGCCACCTCCCCTTTGGTGACATTTGTGTGAAGTAAAGTGTGTGGTGCTCAGTAGACACTCGGTCTATAGACGGTGTCATTGTCGATGGTCAGCCGGAAACGTCACAGCGGGGAAAACGCACACTTGGGTTTAAATGGGCATCTTTGCCGACGTTTACACCTTATGTCACGACGTGCTGCAGCTGCAGGGGACTGAAGCCAAGCCCCTTTGGTTCCCACACGGGAAACTGGAGGCTTAAAGAGGTGGAAAGGGTTTGCACCAAGTCACAGAACCAATGAGTATAAAGCTAAAGCAGCGGTCTCGTTACTCAAAAGGTGATGAGGCCAGAATTCGTCTGATGGGAGGCCCTGAGAGCAGAGCTAATAATAATCCCATAGGAGACTCGTGACTTACAAGACAAGCAGCACGGTGAGCCAAGGAAAACACACCCAGGGGGGCTCTTCTCGCATCCAGGGCCGTTTTCCCCGGTTGACAACGGTCGGCAAACAGTCGGTGGATGTTCAGGAAAGGCCCGTCCATGCTCCAGCCCGCCCGCCCGCCCGCCCTCGTTTCTCCCGGGGAATTCACCAGGGTTGGCTCACTTTGGAGATGTTCCCATTAGCGAAGTCTTATAAGATCCCAAAACAGAAAAACGGAAGCTGCGAGATAAGGCTCTGCCAAAGGGGAAGTGAGGAAGCACATTAAGATGGTCTTCGTCTTGCCAAAGGGGAAGCAAAGAAGCACATTAAGATGGTCTTGTCTTATCTAGAAAGTTGAGAAAGGGGAATTTGTGAAATCAATTTCGCCTCTAATGCAAGGGGAGACAAGAGAATAACCTACTATGTATATACATAAGTCCCATTAGCAGCTATTCTGTCTTTGGCTACAAACCATTCACTTCCGGTGAGTAAGAATTCAAAACACACACCCACTGTGAATGTTTCTCCTATTTGCCCAGCGCCTTTACCGATAGGGCCTCTAGCCTTCCTCCAGCAGGGAGGGCGTCGGGGTTCACCGCAGCCTGCCTGCGACCTCTCGCTGAGCGCCAGCCACTGGGCCATCTCGATGGTCTCTCCCAAACTGGGTGGCCCTGGGCCCCTGGGTCCCACGGTGTGGGCATCCACACCAGCGTCACACAAAGGTGTTCATTTAAAGAGCAGGTCCCCGGGCCCCAGCCTAGACCCACCGAGTCCGACTTTCTGAGTGTCAGGCCTGAAGACAGGTGTTTGACACGAGCTCAGAGTTAGTCTTGCTCCCGTGAAGGAAAGGTGAGGAGCCCTCTCTTCCCGGGGGTAGCGCAGACCAGGACGGCCCAGGGCTCCTGCCTGGCTCAGATGTCCTCAGGCGTCGACAAAACCCACATGCGTGAGCAAACCTTTCTGGGGGGTGGATTCAGAAGGAGCCAGAGCAACTTCCCATCAAACCCGCCCACGGGTCAATCAAACAAGGAACGCCGTTCTGCACCGCGATGGTGCATGGACATTAACGCTGCTTCACACGTTTGGGTGTGCAAGGAACACCACATGTGCACTCTGCAAATGCAATGGAATCTTTGGTGGGATTTCCTCCCCCCACCTCAGACTCTGCAGGAGTACTCGGGGCATTAGCAGAGCAGAATTTGGGAGGAAAGTGCCGAGGTTTTCAAAACCGAGCGCCCAGCAGCACTGCCCGGAGGTGAGGGGACTGAGAGGCTTGGGAAGGCGAGAGGGGACCCTGCCACTCTGGGAAGTCCTGTGCTCCGCAGTTCCCATCGGTTGTGAGGGACCAAAGCTGACCTCATGCCAGTTACAGGTGGTCCGGTCTGGGCCATTGTTCCTGGCCGGTGCTACTTCCATTAACCCCAACCCTCTCCTGTCCATGGCTTTTACTGGTTCCTACCTAGCTACCAACGGTCTGATGCCAGGGTGCCAGGGTACAGCCAACATTTGTCTTGGGAAGCCCTAGCCTCCCTGCTCTGGCTCCCTTGCTCCCTCAGGGATGCTCCTTCTCTGTGAAAGTGGGCGTGAGCTGGCCTGGGCACGGAACTGAACTTGACCCACGTCCTTGGTGCCCCCCTCGAATCCGAGGAGCAGAGGGCAGGGAACTTCCTGGAAAAGGGATGTGGAGCCGGGAAGGGTGGTGCCTCGGAGACAGGCAGCCCTGAGCGGCGGAGCCTGGGGTGTGTTCCAAGTCTGTCCCACCCTCCTGCCTTTTCTCTTCGTCTCTGCCAAGGTGGAGGTGGTCCGTGTGCACCCGGAGGGGAAGACTGAGCGGTCCAGGGACGGCAGGCTACGTCTGCAGAGTCTGGGAGACTCAGTGGGGCTGTGAGACCCCTCCAATCAGCAAGTTACTTGGGGGAGCTCTGGTGGATCGGGGCCGGGGGAGAGAAGATTCAACATCCCCACCCGCTCAACCCTCACCTGGTCTCCTCTGCAGCTCACTGCCGCCCTCTGGCAAGTGGGCGCCCCATCGGACCCTGGACAGGAGAACGCAGGGGACGAAGCTGCAGCCCCAAAGCTGTGGCCCGGCTGTCACCCCGCTGCTGCCCCTCACTGCACTGGGGTCTCTCTATGAGGGGCACCCGGGTCTCTCTATGGCCTTTCAGTGACCCTGGGGCCCAGGGAAAGACCCCTGCACTCCAAGCATCCATTTTCATGCCCAACCTCAGGGTCTCTCGCTCGGAGAATTTAGGACAACAGTGAGTGGGTTTGGAATATTATACTCTAGTAGTAATAATAATAACAACAATACCTTTATTCACAAGTCTCCACTCATTTCCCTTATCCCTCCTTCTGCTATTGGGTTCTCTCCCTCAAGTTCTCTCAATTCACATTTAAAATAATCATTTTTCCCTTCAGCCATAGAGAGAATTTGCTCTTGAGCCAGGATCACCTAGAAAGGGTGGCAAAGGGGACCACAGTGCTCCCCGGCCCAGCTCAGCTGGCCTCGCTGGCGTCCTGTCTACTCTCTCCCCGAGTGCTGAGGACCTGGGTCCGTTCTCTCCGCAGCCCCATTCCCTGTCCGGGGCTCCCTTCCTGCCCTCGGGTCTCAGGATCCAAGACGTGACTCGGCCCTCTCAGCGGGGAGCCGGGAGGGTCCTGTTGCTCTGGGAAGTGGGGGGCAAAGGAGGATGGGAGACCTGGGAGGAACGGGGGACCCCTCGGGGGCCTGACCACAGACCCCGGCATGGGGGGTGGCAGCTAAGGGGACTGACTCTGGAGATTGACCGCCTGGGTCTGGACCCCTTAGATCTGCGCTTGCAGATGAGAAAGGTAAACTCTTTGGTGTCTCCGTTTTCTCATCTGTAGAATGGGGACAAAGAGAGTATCCAATTCAGAGGCTGTTGTGAGGATTCCATCAACGTAATGATGAACGTGCAAAATACTCAGAATAGGGCCTGGCACATAGTAAGCACTCAATAAATGTTAGAGATGCTATTAGAAATAAACATTAGAGATAACATCTAGAGATAGCACTGGAGATAACATCTCTAGTACTCTAGACATCACTGTGCACAGACTCTGAGGGCCGTCAGTGTGTGCCTGCGACCCACCCCTCTGTGAGAGAGAGCGCCTGACGGGGGCTGAATTGACACCTGAGGAGGGGACAGCGACCGGGGACCCACTACTGGCAGCGCTGGATGAGGAGACTGAGGCTGGCCGTCCACAAATGACAAAACCCCTCCCAGTTCGCTTCTATCTCCGAGACTCCCATCACTGCCCAGCTCCCGAGGGGATGCTGCCCATCAGACAAGTTATCCAACGTTTCCAAGGCAGAGATGTTATGTTACTAGAGCTAAAATACAAAACAAAGCAAAAAAAACACCTGCGTCTGTGTCAGGTTAACAGAGTTCGCACAGAACAAACAGGTAGGAGACACAGGAGAATTCGTCCTGAGGGGCAGGGCTCCCGGCGTCACTGCGGGTTTTAGCATCGTGGAGATTCCCGGGAAACTTTCTGCGCACTGCTGGAAATTCCTCCGCCCTGGCTCCGCTGTGACTCACAGGAAGCCGCTGTCCGATAAAAGGCTCCGGCCGGCCATGCTCTGCCACTCTCGTCTGACTTCTCTTGTCTGGTGTCAGCACTGCAGGAGCGGCAGGGACGCACCAGGGACGCACCAGGGACGCACCAGAGAACCGCACAGGGAAACCACCTCTTCACAAACCCGTAAGTCTCCCTTCCCGAGAGCAGCCTCAGGCCGTGCAGCTTCCACGGTCCGTAGGAAGAGATACTCAGAAAGCGCCCCACCCCCGACAAAAGACCCCGGCCAGCTCCTACTGTCTTCAGTCTCGTGAAGAACTGGCTTTGCTCTTTGAGGTCAAGGATGAAAGTTAGATTTCATTTATTTATTTATTTATTTATTCGTTCAGGGAAACTCCTTTCGCATGGAGATGGTGGCACTGCAGTCTGTGACCTAACATCCTAGGAGGCCACCACCCCAGACATCACTGCAGAGGGACATGCGCAACTGACCGCCTGGGGTTCCATTCTCTGATTCATTTTGTACTTTTTCTCCCCAGAATCACAATTCAGTCTCATCCTCGGACCAGAAGGACCCCCGGAGCCATGCCGGCTGCGCAGCTTCTCTCGGCCCTCACCTTCGGTGAGTCGGTGACATTAGTCGGAGTGGGGGTCTCCGTGGTACCAGTGACACCTCGGGCCTGCTAGTTCTCCCCCGGGGGTGGGCACCCAGTGCATTGCAGGGCTGGGCAGCTTCCCTGGCCTCTCTCTCCCCCCACAATGCGTTTTGCCCTGGACTAGAGGTTCCTACCTCTGTGTGCCTCCGTTTCCTTACGCGTCAGGTGATGAGCATCACACACCTGTGTCCTGGGGGCACTGCGAGGGTTCAGTGTCACGGCCACGCAAAGCGCCTCAGACAGTGCTGGTGGCGCTCCAGGAAGCTTAGTTATTCAGATTACTAGTCCTCTTTGAAGTGGGGGTACTTGTGGGTGATGGCGGGTGGGTGCAGGTAAAGCATCAGGTGGCGGGGCGTCAGCCACCGAAGAAGAGCCCAGTAACCGGAGGGTCCTCCATCCAAACCCCTTCTTACTTTGGAAAAGGCGACCAAGGCCTGAGCCACCCCGAGGCCACCATATGCCACAACAAGACAATAAAAAGCATTGTTGGCAACTGTGTAATTCCGCCTGTGAGAGGGATCCAGAGCAGTGAAAATCAGAGAGACAGAAAGCGGGTCGGCAGTTGCCAGGGGCTGGGCCGGGGGGTATAGTTTAATGGATACAAAGTGTCAGTTTGCAAGGTGAGAAGAGTCTCAGGATGGGTGGTGGTGGTGACTGCGTTTACTACCCTTGAACGGAACGTTTAAAAGCACGATGTTACCACCGTGAAAAAATAGAATAAGAAGGGTGAGCGGGGGAGGGGGGAGCCCAGTTAACACAGGCAGACGATGACTCAACTTTCTCGCCCCCCCATGCTCCCCCCACCCCCAGTGCTGCTCCTGATCGAAGAGAGCGGAGCCTGGTCGTACCACGCCTCCGAGAAACCCCTGACCTTCGACGACGCCAGCGCGTACTGTCAGGAGAAGTACACCCACCTGGTGGCCATCCAGAACCAGGAGGAGATCAAGTACCTCAACGACACGTTCCCCTACGCGCCCAGCTACTACTGGATCGGCATCCGGAAGGTCAAGGACCAGTGGGTCTGGATCGGGACCCAGAAGGCGCTGACGGAGGAGGCCACGAACTGGGCCCCCGGCGAGCCGAACAACGGCCAGAGCAACGAGGACTGCGTGGAGATCTACATCAAGAGGGACAAGGACGTGGGCAAGTGGAACGACGAGAGGTGCAGCAAGAAGAAGCTCGCCTTGTGCTACACAGGTGGGCGCTCTGCGGCAGCGGCGGGCAGGTGGGCGGGGGAGGGGGGCAGGGAGGCCGGGTGTGGGCGCCTCGGCAAACCAAACCGTCGACACTGCGCAATAAGGGGTCTCTGTGTGAGGTTCTGTCCCCAAACACCTGGCTTTAAGACCTTGCGTTCAACGGATACAGCATCTCTTTGCTTCTTTGTGCGGACACCGGTGAGATACACCTGCCTGTGTGTGTGCGCACGTCGTGTGTAGGTCTATACGTGCGTGGAGGGTACTCTCCACTCTCGGCACCAGGGACAGCTCTGCCCCGGCATCCGTCCGCACAGCGACCTCAGAGGTTAGAGCAGACTTGGGCACTTTGTGAAGCCCTTCTGTTCGAGTCTCTGGCGCTCTGTGTCCCTGGAGACGTCCCCGTGGCCCGCTGTTGACCATGAAGTCACAGGGACCCAGGCTTCTCTCCTCACGGACTGTGTTTCCCGCAGCTGCCTGTACCCCGACATCCTGCAGCGGCCACGGCGAGTGCGTGGAGACCGTCAACAACTACACTTGCCAGTGCCACCCCGGCTTCAGCGGCCTCCGGTGTGAGCAAGGTGAGTCCGGGGCCGCCTCTGCCCGCCCTGCAGGCAGCAGCGCGGCGCTGGCTGGCTTCGGAGTCCAGCCTGCGGGTCTTCCTTCCCCAGAGCTGGAGGTGGTGGTGGTGGTGCCGGGGGCGGGGGGCGGGGCGGGTGTCACAGCCTCCAGATTCAAATCCCAGATTTGACACAGCACCGTGCCCACACAGCACCGTGCCCAAGGGTGGGGGTCAGGCTCTGAGGCCCAGCTTTCTCGCTGGACAGTGAGGATGAGTTCAGTCCTGGCTCCGTAGGCCTGTGGCCAGGACTGGGTGAACCAGTGCAGACAGGACGTTTTCTGGAAAGCCTCCCCTCCCCGCACGGCCCTGTTGTCCCCGGGGTTCCCCCCGCCTTCTCTGAGCTGAGGGAGGAGTGGGGCCGACTCGTGTTGTCCCTCTTCAGCTGTGACCTGTCAGGCCCAGGAGGACCCCGAGCACGGAAGCCTGGCCTGCACCCACCCCTGGGGGGCCTTCAGCTACGACTCTTCCTGCGCCGTGAGCTGCGAGGAGGGCTACCAGCCGAGCAGCCCGGGGGCCACTCGGTGCACCGCCTCCGGGGAGTGGAGCACGCCACTCCCAGGGTGCCATGGTACGTCTCTCCCAGGACACGCGGGGCCTGCTGCCATGCATCCCGCCCCGCCTCAGCTTTTTATGCAACGTGGGGCCTTTTTATGCCATGTGGGGCCTTTTCAAAGCTCTAGGGAGAGTTCTTTCCGTCGTTGTCTTCAGGGAGAGGTCCTCTGTCCGCCAGTACCCATGGCCAAGGCAGAGCCTGCTTGGAGTGAGGCAGGCTTTGGTTCCGTGTCTGACGGGGTGTTTCTGTGGCTCTGGCGGCTTCTCAGAGCTCGGGGAGACTGGCTCTCGACCTCTGAACGCCTCTCCCCTTCTTTCCCTGTTTAACTTCAGCCATGGGCTTGCTGGGGACAGCCATAAGCAGTCTCAGTGTCTCTTGTCCTCTCCCTGTTATCTTCCGGGCTAGAGACAAAAATTCAGGCCTCCAGGACCACTGGGTTAAAGTAAATGAGTGTCTCCTGTATGTCACTTTAAAAAAAAATCACAGCTAGCCATAAATCTGACTTACAACCTGTGGTTTCTCCGTTTTTGCCTTACGGGAAATAGATCAGGGGCCTGATGAGCAATTGATCAGGAGACAATAGATCAGATACCACTCAGCACAGTCCGAGTAAAAATCAGAAAAGACGAAATATCAATTAAAAGAGCATAAAAGATTTACGGTGGGCGTGCATGTCCCCAAGAATGAACGGCGGGTGCTGGGATCTACCCTTGAGAGGCAGCCCCCCTGCTCCGCCGTAAACTCCAGTCCCATAGGAAGTGCACGCCTAGAAGCTCCCCTGAAATCCACGGTGCTCTTTCCAATCCCCAGTGGTTGAGTGCGAGCCTCTGACCGACCCTGCCCACGGGTCCGTGGAATGCGACCAAAGCCCCGGGAGCTTCCAGTGGAACACCAGCTGTGCCTTTGACTGCGAGGAAGGATTTGAACTGGAGGGGCCCCCGCGCCTCCAGTGCGCCTCCTCTGGACGCTGGGACGATGAGGAGCCGACGTGTGCAGGTAGGGCAGACCCACGTCGAGACTTGCCGCTGATACTCTTTTTCTCCACGGCACGGCTGCCCTCGGCACGGCTGCCCCGTGCATCTGTTCACGGCACGTCTCTCCTATACGTCAGCCGGGCAACAGCTCGGCGAGCTGTCTCTGCCGAGCAGCCCGGCGCCGAGGGACAGGCGAGAGTCACACACGGGAACCGTGCTGTTCACTCAGCTGTGACCGATGGAGGGTCACTCGGCATAGAGCGTCGACGCACATGAATGTCCTGCTCGCGCTCTGACAGCCTGAGAGAAACACAACACGCACACAGCAGTCAATGGGGGTGGGAACCCGAGTCCCAGGGTCTCGGGCTGCAGGTCCGGGAGACAGCGGGGTGGGGTGGGCGAGGGAGCTGTCAGTGTCCCGCAGGGAAGGACCTCTGGAGCCCGGTGGGCGGCGGGGCAGGCGAAGTCCTCCGTCCAGCAGGACAGAGCCCCCGGTGGCCGATGCCGAGGGAGATCACGGTGGTGTGGAGCAGCACCCTGGGGTGCGGGGCTCAGCTGTCTCTGCAGTGGTCTGGAAGTGGCCTCAGTTATACCTTGCAGGTGGTGGACTCCACCCTTCTGGGTGTCTTGATAAGTGTCTTGGAACCCCTGATGCCAAGTGAAACTCTCCCCAGGAGCCCAGGGGTGGTACATGGCCGTGCTGCTTGGCACCCCTGATGGCGAGTGGGGGATTTCCCCAGGGGCCCATCTATGGGTGGTCCCGCCCTGCAGACACAGCTGTTCTGACCACATGTGCAGATACCTTAGGTGTGTTTCTTTGCCAGATGTGTCTGCTCTGGCTTAAGTAGTTTCCCTCTTGAACCAAAGTGTCATGGCAGCCATTTTAGTTGACATGAGTGACTCCACTTTGTTTTATAAACCTTATGCTTCCTTGACAAGACCAACGCCATTTTATTGGTCCTGTTCCCCACAATGGCCCAGCTGGGCCTACTCATGTAAACGGGTGGGTTCGTGTGTTACAGCTGTGACGTGTGACGCCATCAGCGACCTTCAGAACGGCTCGGTGAGCTGTAGCCATGCCCCTGCCGGAGACTTCACCTTCCAGTCGTCCTGCAGCTTCACCTGTCACGAAGGCTTCCAGTTGCAGGGGCCCGCCCAGGTCGAATGCACCGCACGAGGGCAATGGACGCAGCAAGCGCCGGTCTGTGCAGGTGAGCCTGAGGCTGCCCCTCCTAAAGAGCGGCTGTAGGGAACTCGGACAGCTGCCCGCCTTACCTGTGGAGATCGGATCCCATGGGCAGCCCTCTTCTCGTGCCCTGGAGGCTCACCCAGGGGAAGAATTGTATGCAATGAAGGCAGACGCTTTGCCGGTTCCCTCACTGTGCTGTGCTAACAGAACTTCCTGGTCATGGGCACCAAATAGGTGGAAATCTCTATCTAGTGGGAAATGGCATTAGAAAATGTAGACAGTAGGATCGTGAGGACAGGACTTGCTGCTAAAACCCTGGTCCTACCTTTCTGCTGAAATGGCTTGTAACTAGCAGTGACGAGAACATTTCACGTGGGGTGTCAGCCATAAAGACGCCCTTAATGCATACCTGGGCACCACAGTTTAATTCACTTTAAAGCCAGAGCGAGAATATTGGAAACAAGCAGTTTTCCACTCTCGGGTACCGATATTCTCATAGCCAAGTATAACTCAGAATAATTTCCAGTGGCAGAAAGCCACGACACTAAAACCGAACTGCAGAACAGACAAAACCTAAACGTGGCTGCCTCCTTATTTCCATTTTCCGGCACCGTCTGCAAGCACCAGGCCCCCTGAGCTGCTCTCTGACCACATACAGTCTCTCTCTCGAGTCCCACTTCTTTCCCGCGTCAGAAGAACACGCAGCAGCCACCTGTCCGGGGAAAGGCTGTCCTTTAATTAGAGTCCCCGTCAGTAAGGGCTTGGAATTCAAAGAAAGCACAGCCTCTCCCCAGGTGCCCCGGGAGTAAGGAAGAGTCTTGAGTCCTCTGAGCATTTCTTTGTGCAAAGCGAACGGGGCTCACTGAGTCCAATGCCACGGAGCCCCCCGGGCCATGGCAGCATTTTCTGACCGTCAGTCTGGTGTTTCAGCGCTCCAGTGCAAAGCCTTATCCGGACCCGAGAGCGGCTACGTGGACTGTATTCCCAGTGCGTCTGGAAGTCTCCAAACCGGGTCCATCTGTGAGTTCTCCTGTCAGGAAGGATTTGTGCTGACGGGACCCACGAGGCTCCACTGTGGCCGCACAGGGGAGTGGGACGGCGAGGAGCCCACGTGTGAAGGTACCGTTTTTGTTTTCATTTTCTGTTACGATAAAAAAAAATGGAAAAGGAACACTATGGAAGAGCTAAGGACTGGGTGACGTGGAGACACCTGCTGTCGCCTGATACGCACGAACGTCTCACGCACGGGCTTGCTTGTGTCTTCCAGCTGTGCGATGCCCCGCGGTCGGCGAGCCCCCCAGCGGCTGGGCGAGCTGCAGCGCCGGCCGGGCTGGACCCTTCACCTTCGGGGCCTCCTGCGCCTTCGGCTGTGGGGAAGGCTTTGAGCTGCAGGGATCGGATCTAATGGACTGCACGTCCCAGGGACAGTGGACCCAGCAGGTCCCCTCCTGCCAAGGTGAGACCGAATGTGGACTTACAGGGCGAGTACGCTCACACCGAACACAGATGGGGCCTGATCCTCATTTCCTACCTGCCGGGAACGAATGAGTGCTAATTAGTTGTGTGTGGTGTGGACCTCTCAGCCGGTTCCAGAAGTTTCCCAGTGGCCTTCCCTTAACCTCTGCCCGGGTTCCTGTCATTTGCAGCGGTACGGTGTTCCAGCCTGGAGGCTCCCGGCAAGGCGAACGTGAGCTGCGGCGGGGAGCTGGTGGTCGGTGCCGTGTGTACGTTCGCGTGCCCTGAAGGATGGACGCTCAACGGCTCCGCGGCTCTGACGTGTGGCCCTGCGGGACACTGGTCTGGGATGCCGCCGACCTGTGAAGGTGAAGCACTCATCGATGGTGGTCATCTGGGGGCCAGAGAGAGAAGAAGGGGGGTTGTCCCGCCAAAATAATGGACGGTCTATTACATCCAAACCAGAAACAGAAAGGCCAGAGCGGTTGGCCAGGCCAATTTTATGGGGACTTGGAGAAAACAGAAGCGGTGACACGTTGGTAGAATGAGTTGACTCTGACAGTTGGGGGAGGGAGGGAGGGAGGGAGGGGGAGAGGGAGAGAAGGAGACACCAAAGCACAGTGCAGTTCTAGAGTCTGCCCAGCAGAGGGTGGGGCCAATCCCGAAGGTCTTGAGTACGACGCTGAACTCCACACCTTGCCTGCTTCACAGAGGGCCATCAGCGTGTGGAGAAAAGGGTGGGTGGACAGGACAAGAGGCGTTAGAGTCGGTTCTCTCCCCTGACGGTTCTCCCCCTCTGCGTCTGCAGCTCCCCCCGAGTCCACCGCTGCCCTGACTGTTGGCCTCTCGGCCGCCGGGACCTCCCTCCTGACCTTGACATCGTTTCTCCTCTGGCTCGCGAAACGTCTCCGGAGGAAAGGTGAGGGGGTTGTAAATGCTCTCGGGAACAGCTTTTGAGAGTTACTTCATCCTTGTCGATGAGCCATGGTCTCAGAAGCAGATTTAGACAGTAATTACAATCCAGTTACTAAATAGTGAACAGCAGTAAGCTGAGCAGACGTCTTAGGGACGGGGCTGATCGTAAACTCAGAGCGGGCCGAGTTGGAGGAGGTGGCAGTGCTGGCCATGCTAACCTAGGACCATTCCGGGCCACGCCTCCCACGTTGCATTTTACGGACCCTCGAAGTTGTGCAGCGAGGCTGCCGGGACCGGTCCTCCCCGGAAGATGGAATAAAATGTGGCTAAAGATTTTATTAAGAAGATGGGCTGAAATTGGGGAGCACCTCCGAGGGAATGTACAAACACAGCTAGCCACACACATGGTTTCTGTGGCCTACAAGAGTGTTAAAAAATTTTGGAGTTAAGTTCTGATGTTCAGACATGGGAACCTTGACATGAAACCCAGGTTTGGGGCTCGTCATGAGATGCTGGGAGGTCAGCCTGGCAAGCTGAGCCTGTGGCTGTTTGCTTAGGTTAGAAGCGGCGTGGCCCCTCCGGGAGGGTCCACTTGGCACGTCCTGTCCCCCTAGTTGCCACCAAGCTGTGTTTGCGCCCTGATTATACATACAGGGGCCCCGAAGGCGCTGAGTTTGCCCCTCCCGGTGATGAATAGTGTCAGACCGTTTCTGGATTTGATGGGTCCTTGGAGCGCGATTCAGTCCGAATTAATGGTTGTCTTTTTCTTGCAGCAAAGAAATTCGTCCCCGCCAGGTAAGTTGCGTTCTTTGCCCTGCATGCCATTGCATGAACGCCCTGCCCGTTTTTCTCCCTTCGTGCTGGAAAACTGTGCTTTACTCAGCGCTCTCGTGTGTTCCACAGCAGCTGCCAGAGCCTGGAATCGAGCGGATCCTACCAAGTGCCTGCCGAGTCCATTTAAGTCCTAGAGAAATCAGGTAAGACCTGAGAATCACACGTGGCTTGGAGAGAAGATACCCTGGTTGTATGTTCTCTTGCTCCTGAGCCCCCCAGATCTGCCGGTTTCTGGAGGAGGGGGGGCAGGGAATCACCATCTTCCTGGTATTTTATGAAACGTGGTTGCATTTGTATGTGGAAGGAGAGGCAGGGAACCAGGATCTGGTCCTGATGGAGTCCGTTCATTTATGAAAGTTAATGATGATGACAATAGCTGTTACATGGAACTTACTATATTCCAGGACGGGTTCTAAGCTGAGGATTCTCTGAGACAGGGTTATTACTGCACTTGTTGTTATTATGTAGATGAAGGAAGTGAGGCACAGAGGAGTTACGTAGCTTGCTTAAAATCTCAAAGCTAGTGAAGTGGCGTGGCCAGGACTCAAGCCTAAGCGGTCTGGTTGCACAGTGTGTGCTCTTAACCACTCTGCTCTGCTTCTTGAGCATTTGGAAGGACCAAGTCTCCTCCAAATAGGTTTTTTAAAAAGTGAGTACCTGTTTGCAGGTAGTTTCAGTTTCTAGAAAAGTGAGCAGGGAGTGCAGACTTCCAGCACACCCGACTCCCACCCCCCACTTCCCCTGTGGCTCACCTCTGGCATTCGGACGGCGTTTTGTTACAATCGATGGGCCAGCATTGCTGCGTTATTAACCACCGTCCACGGTCTACACGAGGGTTCGCTCTTGGTGTTGCATTTTCTATGGGCTTTGACGATGTGTGCTGACCCGAACCCACCATCACAGTGTCACACGGGACGGTCTCGCTGCCCTAACCAGTGAGGGTGTTGGTGTTCACCCTTGACCACGCCAGGGAGGGCACACACCGTGAGCGGAAGATGAGCGTGGCTGTCATTGTCAGGGGCAGAGTGGCAAGTGTCCTGACAGCATGCACTCTCATCCTTGCAGGACACAGGTGCACGAAAGTCCTGGAGCGACACCCTGAGGATGACAGAGGCAGATGGCAGGTCTTCCCCACCTACGGCAGCCTGGACCACAGTGCCCGTGAGACCACAGGCCAGTGGGCAAGGCCAGCCGGCCACCAGAAAGACTCGGTTTCCTTTCTCCTGTTCTCAGGGCCTGGACAGCTCTGGCTGCTGGAGGGAAGGACATTCCCTTCCAGGCCAGAGAGCGGAGGCCAAGGCGCTGGACTCTCAGAGTGCCTTCTCTGACTCTGCCTCCCTCGCTCCTGGTGAAACCTCGGCGGAGAAACCCAGCATTCTGTGGCGCCGCCGTTTCTTTCTTTTGTTCCTCAGTGTGTGCAAACTGCCGGTTACAAAGTGGCTCTCGCGGGCTGCACGGTCACTGTCACAAGTTTCCTAGAGGAAACAAATCGGCCACAGATACGGACTTGACACATTGTCTTGTTGTTAACGGTGCAAACCCCACTGAGTACCTGTGCGTGAGGATCACTAGACGAAGCCAATATATCACTTTTATCCCTGTGGGATTCAGGGCTTTTGAAAGTATTCTTAGAGATGGTATTCTTTTCACTTGCATTGAGTATGCATTCCACAGTCCTTAATTCAGCGCAAGCGTTGTACGGACTTTACCATATGTGCATGTTAGGACCGTAAGCAGGTCATCATTACCCATCCTACATCCTCACCTCCCTGTTAATGACTTCTAACGTTACATCTATAGCGAATGTATTTCAGAAAAGGGCAAATACTGTTTCCTAACAACGTATTAACAGAATGTTAACCAGTGTGATGTTGTGAATGTTTTGGTAACAGTTTCTTTTAAAAGCAGGAGTAGTGTCAGGACAGTGCAAGCTAAGTGGCAGACACCTGTGCAATACCTGGTTTCTATGATGAAAAACTTCTATGAGGCCAAATGTTCTGATCTGATAAAAGCATAAGTGTAAATAAGTAAAGGTACATTTTTGTAAATGTCTTTGTTGAAAAAAAAAACACGTGTAGAAACGTGGATGTGCTCTGCATTCCTAAAAAGACGCCCATCAGATGTGACGTGGCGATACGCAATTCTGGGATAGTACACAAGGTTTTCAATCCATGGTGAGAACTCACTGTGTACAGGATTCCCCTAGTGGATTTTGACAAAGTGAAAGATGTTTAATAATTATTTCCTAATTGTTGTCATTGTTTGTTAGGCTGTTCCTGAAAACAGGAAAGCCTGTGGGAGCCAGTATTCACATTTATTTAGGAGGGAGTTTAAAATCCCTAAGGAACCCAGTTATGGATCCCTGGAAACGAGACATGCTCTGTCGGAAATTGCCAACCTCATGGGGTGTGAGAATCGAAACTCTCCCACACTCCCATCACCTTGGTGTGCGTGGCGAGAGCAAAGTTCCAGAGAAGCTCCCGGATGCCTATTGGCAAAGGCACAGCTGAAAGCAGACAGGGAGAGATGCTGGGAACCAGGGCGGCAAAGGTCATTAAGGGCAAAGGACTCTGGGAAATAAGGGGGAGGGAGTAAAAGCATCTCTGCAATCAGGCCATAGACGAAATCACGATCATCTTGTGTGAGACTATTCAAATGTAAATACTTGTACTACCGAAGGGGAAATAGCTGTGTGAACTCTACATGGGTCTGGGTTTGGGTTTTATGCAGTATTTTAAATTATGGTTGAAAATATTTTACAGTTGTTAAAAGTATGTATTTATTTGAATTTATGTTGTATTTACTGTATTTGACATGGCATTATAAAGTTGGATAATAAACATGTTTGTATTTATCTCGGGGTAGGAGCTCTTTCTTCAAAATCCTATTTTATGTAGATAAAACTCACATACCACACAATGTGTCCCGTTTAAGCGTACACTCCAGAGTTTTTGGTGCAGTCACCAAAGAGATCCTGCAACCATCCCACGCTGTAACTCCAGGACGCATCTATCCCCCAGAAAGAAACCCGGCGCCCACCAGCGGCCACTCTTCATTCTGCGTCCCCCTGCCCCTGGTGGCCAGGGGTCTACCTTTTGCGTCTGTGGGTTTGCCTGTTCTGGACACATGAGTAGAGTCACACAGTCCGCAGCCTTTTGTGCCTGGCTACTTTCACTCGGGGCACCGTGTTCAAGCTCGGTTCATTTTGTAGCGCATATCAGTACCGCATTTCTCTGTGTGTACATGGAACATTTTTAAAAATTTTCGTTGTTGTTCAAGTACAGTTGTCTGCATTTTTGCCCTACCGCTCCCCCCACACCTGAGCCATCCCCACCTCCCTCCCCTGATTCCATCCCCCCTTGGTTTTGTCCACGTGTCCTTTAGAGTTGTTCCTGAAATCCCCTCCCCTCTTTCCCCTGTTATCCCCTCCCACCTCCCCTCTGGTCACTGTCAGCCTGTCCTCTATTTCAGTGTCTCTGGTTATATTTTGCTTGTTTCTTTCTTTTGTTGATTAGGTTCCACTTAAAGCTGAGACCATATGGTATTTGTCTTTCACTGCCTGGCTTACTTCACTTAGCATAATGCTTTCCAGCTCCATCCATGCTGTCTCGAAGGGTAGGAGCTCCTTCTTTCTCTCTGCTGCATAGAATTCCATTTTGTAAATGTACCACAGTTTCTTTATCCATTCATTTACTGATGGGCACTTAGGTTGCTTCCAGCACTTGGCTATTGTAAACTGTGCTGCTGTGAACACTGGGGCGCATAGGTTCTTTTGGGTGGTGTTTCAGGAGCACTTCATTTCTTTTTGTGGCTGAACCACTCTCTAGGACATGGCCATGAGCCTTTTCTTTTCCCGCCCACCAGCTGACCGACACTTGGGTGGTCACCGCATTTTGGCAGTTGTGAATAATGCTGCTGTGAACTTCTTTTTTTATTGTTTTTTATTGTCAATGTATAACAGTTGTCCCAGTTTCCCCCCTGGGCCCTCCTCCACCCAGCCCACCCCCTGCTCCCACAGTCAGTCCCGCTGTGCACGCCCACGGGCCCTTCACGCGTGTTCCTTGACCAGTCCCTTCCCCAAACTTCTTGTCCGAGTTTCTGAGTAGACTTATGTTTCCAGTTCTCTCAGGCACATACTGAGAAATGCAATTTTTGGATCATATGGTAACTCCACGTTCCATTTTTAAAAATGTATTGATTTTTTTTTTTAGAGAGAAAGAAGCACTGACTTGTTGTTCCACTTACCTACGCATTCATTAGTTGACACCTGTATGCACCCTGACAGGGGATCGAACCCACAACCCTGGCGTATTGGGACAACACTCTAACCAACTGAGTTACCCAGACAAGGCTCTCCATGTTTCATGTTTTGAGGAATAGCCAAACCGTTTTCCAAAAGGGCTGTGCCATTCCTCAACCCCACCAGCAACCCCCGAGGGGTCCCATTTCTCTGCATCCCGTCCCCTACATGGCACCATCTGTGTCGTGGGGAATCAGCACGCCAGTGGGGATGTGGGGAGGGCTGTGCGCACAGGCCCCCTGCATCCACGCTGCACAGCTGTCTGAGAAATGGTAATAATCTTTGGAACATCCTTAAGATCAAGGAAACAAAGTTCTCACCCTGGAGCCCCTGCCTCGTGCCCATCTCAGTTCCCAAGGTGCACAGTTAGACGATTCCCCTTCACTCCCTCTACAGACTCAGGGTTTCCCCAGGGTGGGAGGCAGGGTCGTGTTCCTGCCACCCCTCCTCTGAAACCGTGCCGCTCCACGAGGCCTGGTGTGCGCCGAGCTGAAAACCACCTCAAGAATCTTGCTGTTATCAAACAATCAAAAGGTCTGAATGTCTACGAAAACCTGGTTTCCTTTCTGGCGTGGTTTTCCAGGGTTAAAAAAAAACTGTGGTTTTCACACTATCGCCAATGATGGCTGGTTTCACTTTGATTTCTATACTCCATTTTCACTCAAAGGATTACTTAAGAGAACATGAAAGAAAGCCATGAAAAAGCCAGGATTGGTTCTGCACATTCGATCTGTCTTCGTGTAGGACCAAAGTGGACACGCGTTTGGGAGATCAGCTCAGAACTCAGAGGGCCAGGCGCAGGACTGTCGGCTTCCCCAGGTATTCAGTGGCGGAGTAAAGCACGCGGGTGGAACGTATTCGGAAGAAATGCAGAGGCCCAGGCCCCATGGAGATGGGCAGGTGCCAAGCTAGAAGTGAGAAGGAATAGTTCTTGGTGTTAGCAGACGAGCTTTCATGGAAGAAAACAAAAATCTACCCCTTCCAGAGGTGGACCTAAATGTCCACCCACCCCGTGACCCTAGCAAGAGCAAGTTCACGTGGACATCTCTCCGCCCCACCCCTGGGGTGCAGCCCCCTCTCTGCTGACCTGTCACCCCCAGGACAGCTCAGCCAGGCGATGCCTCCTGCCCCAGCCTGGCCTTCCTTCCCAAGCTCCCCCTCGCCATCCTCTGGAATCCTGCTCCACGATCGCCCAAGCCCCAGACCCTCCAGGTCCTCTCCGCAACTTCTCTCTCTGTCCCCGCTGTGACAGGCACCTGGCCCGAGCACGTGCCATGCCCCTCCCCACCCCACAGGTCTCTCAAGGGGGCATGTCCGTCCTCTCCTGCCCCATCTCTCAGGGGCAGGGGGTGCAGAGCAGCGCCCTCCTCTATGAGGAATTTCATTACTGATCTCTGTTCTTCTCACCACTTTTTAAACAATGAGGGGAAGAAATACAGTGACCTCAAGTCTCTGGGGCTGGTGACACTGAGGCGTGCCCTCTTCTCGCTGTCTTCCTTGCAGTGTGACCTCCCAGCCCGTGAGTCCCCCGGAGACCTGGGCACCAGCTCCTTCTCATTCTCGCCCTTGGGCGCCCCTGCAGTCCTGCGTGGCGTCACCCTTCAGGCTCCCAGCACCGCCTGGGTCTGCACGCCCGGCTCTCCAGCAGCGCTCTCCCTCACCCCGCTTTCTCGACCCCTTCTGCCCTGGACAAAGCCCCCAGCCTGGTGTGGCCGGACGGGCGTAAACTGGAGAAGCACGTGCTCACGCACCCCTCTCTCTAATCACGCGTCCGGTCCCTGGAGGTTTATTGCTCAAGGGTCTCACTGCGACCCTCCCTAATCCTACTCGTGGACCCTCCGGTTCCCTTATCTCTAACCATCCCCTCCTCCTCCTCTATTTCCAGTCTCTTCCGCACCGCTGCCCAACACGGCTCCTCTCCATCACTGGGTTCTCGCCTCCTCCGGAGACGACTCGTTCCGTGTGTGAAAAGCGGTCCGGCCTCTTGCGAGGAGCGCGCATCTGCTCTCGTTCGATCCCTTGTTTATTTACTCATTCAGCACGTTTTTGTCGAGCATCTACTACCGTGTGCGAGGATACGCTTCCTTCCAGAGAGCCAGCGAGGAGCGAGGTGATCTGTCCCCGCCCCCCAGGAGCCTGGAGTCGAGACAGATGTCACACGAGCAATCACAGAAGTCATCAATCGCTCCATCACAGCTAGAGCAAGGCGGACGGACAGAGGCTGTGAGAGCGTGAGAGGGCCGGCCCCGTCGACCGGGGACTCCCGCGTCCCAGGACAAGCGGCCGGCGTGTTCCGTGGCAGCAGCGTGGGCAGGTACAGGTCTTTGCCATGGACCGGGCGCAGGCCCTGAAGGGGGCGCGGCGCGGCGTGAGAGCCGACGCTGGATGGCTCGTGGGCTGAGTCAGTGACTCGGGACCTGGAGACTGGTGCGTGCCTGGGCTGCGGTCCTGTCGTCAGGGGCCATGCAGGGGCTGTGGTGGTGCGGGGGTTGGGGGGGGCTGCCAGTGGGCAGGAAGCACAGTTACTGCAAGAACCATGGAGAGGCTTTGGCGCCACTGGGAGATCGCGAAGAAGAAAAAAATTCCCCCTGATTACGGCCCAAACTCCGTGGCGATTTTATTCTCCCCACCCCACCCCATCCCCGTCTTACTGCCACACATGCCTTTTGCAGTTAGATGATTTAATAAACCAGCAGCATGACTACATGTGTGTGGGCGTGTGTCTGAGTGGAGACGTCTTAATTTCTCTGGGCTCAGAATCTTGCGGGAGGAATGCCCGAGGCGGCAGCTACACTGCCTACGGAGAGTTGGTGCAAGGAACCGGCGGGCTGCAGCTGTAACTTCCCGAGAGGGAAAAGCTCAGCCTGGCACGTGTACAATGTGGGGAGCGTATTAAACACCTAAATGGAGACGCCCGGTTGGCGTTTGGCTGGGCCTGGGGGACGTTCCCGGGGCAGACGAGTGGTCCTGGCTGGAAACACCCTTTCGGAAGTCGTCGGCATTCAAGGCTCAGAGACAGGGTTGTGCCGCCCAGTGCGTGAGCTCAGGTGCCTGGGGAGGGCGGTCGGAGAGATGAGGGGGAATCGACAGGTGAAACTGAGATCGGACAGTCACTGAAGTGGGAGGAAAAGCAGGAGCCCACGAGCCAGATGAGACGAGGGCGCAGACTCGGTGGGAGGCTGTGGTGAGGCGCAGCAGCCCTGCGACAGCAGTCTCCGGGGCGGGGGCGGGGGGAGGGGGGCCGGTGTGGTCGCAAACCTGACTGCACAAGGTGGGGGGAGATGGAAGGGGAGGACTGAGAAATGCAGCCTGGACGTTTCTCTGCGGGTGAGGAAGAGACCGGCGCTTCCCGGCCTCCGCGGCTCCAGGTCTGTGTCCATTCTGCCTCGTCCCCCAGGCTCCCACCTCCAGGAGGAGCGCAGCCCGGTGGCCAACGGCACAGGCTCAGAGTCGGTGGGCCTGGGCTCCCGCTGTGTCGCTCAGCAGCCACATGACCGAGGCAACTTTCTTAACCTTTCTGAGACTTTTTTCCCCCCAATCCTCACCCAAGGACATGTCGTTGACTTTTTAGAGAGACAGGAAGGGAGAGAAACATCAATGTGAGAGAGAAACATTGATGGGTTGCCTCTCTTATATGTCCCGCCGGGGACCGAACCCACAACCTAGACTTGTGTCCTGACCAGGAATCAAACCTGCAACCTTTCAATTTACCAGGTGTTGCTCTAACCAACTGAGCCACACTGGCCAGGGCCCTTTCTGAGACTTATTTAAAGTGGGGATATGAATAGTACATTCTGGGGAGTATTGTATTTAATCTTTTTAAAATATATTTTATTGATTATGCTGTTACAGTTGTCCCATTTCCCCCCCTTCACTCCCCTCTGCCCTGCACACCCCCTCCCACCCACATTCCCCCCCTTTAGTTCACGTCCATGGGTCGTACATATAAGTTCTTTGGCTTCTACATTTCCTATACTATTCTTGCCCTCCCCTTGTCTATTTTCTACATACCATCTATGCTACTTATTCTCTGTACCTTTTCCCCCTCTCTCCCCTTCCCATTCCCCTGTTGCTAACCCTCCATGTGATCTCCATTTCTGTGTTTCTGTTCCTGTTTAGTTATTTGCTTAGTTTGTTTTTGTTTTTGTTTTAGGTGTGGTTGTTAGTGATTGTGAGTTTGCTGTCATTTTACTGTTCATATTTTTTATCTTCTTTTTCTTAGATAAGTCCCTTTAACATTTCATGTAATAAGGGCTTGGTGATGATGAACTCCTTTAACTTGACCTTATCTGAGAAATACTTTATCTGCCCTTCCATTCTAAATGACAGCTTTGCTGGATAGAGCAATCTGGGATGGAGGTCCTTGCCTTCCATGACTTGGAATAATTCTTTCCAGCCCCTTCTTGCCTGCAAGGTCTCTTTTGAGAAATCAGCTGACAGTCTGATGGGAACTCCTTTGTAGGTAACTGTCTCCTTTTCTCTTGCTGCTTCTAGGATTCTCTCCTTCATTTTTACCTTGGCTAATGTAATTATGATGTGCCTTGGTGTGTCCCTCCTTGGGTCCAACTTCTTTGGGACTCTCTGAGCTTCCTGGACTTACTGGAAGTCTATTTCCTCTGCCAGATTGGGGAAGTTCTCCTTTATTATTTGTTCAAATAAGCTTTCCACTTGTTGCTCTTCCTCTTCCCCTTCTGGTACCCCTACAATTTGGATGTTGGAATATTTAATGATGTCCTGGAAGTTCCTAAGCCTCTTCTCATTTTTTTTTTGAATTCTTATTTCTTCATTCTTTTCTGGTTGGATGTTTCTTTCTTCCTCCATTGATTTGAGTCCCAGTTTCCTTCCCATCACTATTGGTTCCCTATACATTTTCCTTTATTTCACTTAGCATGGACTTCATTTTTTCATCTACTTTGTGATAGAACTCAACCAGTCCTGTGAGCATCATGATCACCAGTGTTTTGAACTGTGCATCTGATAGGTTGGTTATCTCTTTGGTCACTTAGTTGTATTTTTTCTGGAGCTTTGATCTGTTCTTCCATTTGCACCATTTTTTCCTCTTGACGCACCTGTTACATATGAGGGGTGGAGCCTTAGGTATTCCCCAGGGCGGGGCAACCCAGTCACTGGGTTGTGATGCTGTATGTGGGGCAGGGGTCCAAGAGGGAACAGTGGTGCTTGCTCTGCTCTCTGCCAGCTTTCAGTCACTTCCTTCTCTTCCCACAAGCAAACTGGGCCCTTCTGGTGCTGATCCCAGGTGGGTGGGTTTGTGCACGTTCTAGGACCCTGTGGGTCTCTCCAACAAACTCTCCTGTGAGGCTGGGAGTTTCTCCCACTGCCTCCACCCCCACAGGTGTTTTCAGCCAGAGGTTTGAGGCTTTATTTCCCTGTGCTGGGGCCCTGGGTTGTGGGCCTGTCTGTCTCGCTCCCCAGTTGTTCCTCCAGGTTTATCTGCGTGCAAATGTGGGACCGCCAGTCCGCCAGTCTGCCAGCTGCTGCCAGGCTGCCGCCTTGCTGCGAGTCCTCTCCACCCTGGCTGCCCACCTCTGCCTCTGCTACTGGTCTGGACAAATGTGTCTTCTTTAACTCCTTGGTTGTTGGACTTCCACACAGTTCACTTTTTAGTGTTATCTTTCAAAAAAGCAAATCTAGTTATGTCCCTGGCTCCCCCTTTCCACTGCCCTCCATCACAGAGGCCCTGATTTCAAGTGCCGGCTCTCTCCTTCTCATCCTAGTCTCTGGAAACACACAGAACCACCTCCGTAGGCCCCCCACTCGGAGCTAGAGCAACTCCGCTCTGTTCACGGCTGAACTCTAGGAGGTACCATTCCCAAGGATGTCCACTAGGGGGCGAGCAAGGAGAAGGAACAGAAGTGAACCAAATCCTTGGGGTAGCTGGACTGAAGCGTAACAAACATCATGAATTTGTCCGAAAGACTTCTTGATGGTGTGATATTTGCAATGACCAGGGGCCCTCTACCATGGGTAGCCAAGAGTTAGCGCAGTGTGTAGACAAAAAGGAAGGGGAGAGGCCGAGAGATGGGCGGGGAGAGAGGGCAAGAGTGGGGAAGGGAGGGATGGAGGGAGTGTGAGAGGGAGGGAGGGAGGGAGGGAGGGGGAAAGGAAGGGAAGAAGGGAGGAAGGGAGGAGAGGAGGGAAGGGAGACCCTAACAACAGCACCCTCGGACAGCAGCCCTTCTCCGAGGAGGTGACAGAGGTCAGAGTAGGAAAGAAGTGGGGAAAGAGGAGGCAGGGGAGGTGGGGGAAGTGGGGGAGGAGGATGTGAGACTGGGTTAGAAAACCAAAAGACAGCAAGCTCCCTGGTGACACTGGCGCCACAGTCTCTCTGCAGCAGCACACCGCGCCCTGGGCCAGGGCCAGGAGGAGGACCGGGCACCCCCGGGGAGCAGAGCTGAGAGGTGAGGCCGCGGGAGAGCCGGACCAGGACACGCAAAGCCACGGTGAGCCTGAAAGATTCTCAGATGCTCAGGCAGAACCTCTTCTTGGGGTCGCAGAGGAGGGTGGCGAAGGACAAGAAGCAATGCGTTTCACGTTTGGTTTTTAAAAAGCCAAGGACTAAGGTCGCCTTGTGCTCTTCGAGGCCCTCTTCTCAGAGGTGCTGGTTGCATCGCCCGGCCCTGTCTCTGGCGAGGTCCTGGAAGGGCTGTCTGGCTGCAACTGGCACTTTTGCAACCTGGCACTGTGGCTCCCTGAGGGGTGAGACCCTTCAGAAGGCAGGGTTTGAAGGTGGGCAGAAAATCTGTGGTCTTGTCCTCCGAGTGGCTCACAATGCCTTCCTTTTTAGTTGAAGAAACTGAACTGCTTCTCCTTGCTGGTGTCTGTTCAACTGTTGAGTTCTCTTAGGTATCTGAAACACTGACCCATCGTAATCAAGTGGGAGATTTTAACATTAACTCTAGATGTCAAGAGTTGGTTTAGTGCCCTGGCTGGCATAGTTCAGTGGATTGAGCGCGGGCTGGGGACCAAAGTGTCCCAGGTTCGATTCCCAGCCAGGGTACATGCCTGGGTTGCAGGCCATAACCCCCAGCAACCACACATTGATGTCTCTCTCTCTCTATCTCCCTCCCTTCCCTTTCTACAAATAAATAAATAAAATATTTAAAAAAGTAAATAATAACAATGCTTTAAAAAAAAGAGTTGGTTTAGCACCAGCAAACACTTCAAGGTAGTATATACCAAGGATCCAACAGTCTCATCTAACAGCTCAGCAGAAAAGCAGGTACAAAAAAAAATTACTGAAATATGGAAAAAATCTGAGTGGCAACACTCAGCGACTTGAGGTTAAGACGTGAAAACAGAAGAGGCAGGCCTCAGTTCTGAAGCAAATGTCACGCTACTCTTTCATCCACTTCTGAGAAGTCGGCGACCCCGGCCAGGCTTACTAAGCATGTGTGTTTCGTTCTGAACCTCAGGGACAGTTGCAGGAGCCTCCTCCTCACGGCGCTGTGCGTGTGTGATTCACGAGCACAAATCTCGTCTCTCATTCACAGATGTCTCTGGGGAAACGCCGGCGTGCTCAGGGGGTCTTCAGGCTGTGGGTGTGGACGGTGCTCTGCTGCGGTATGTTCTCCTACGTTTATATGGCTGCGCCTTTTTATTTATTTTTTTAAAAAATGTGTTCATTAGAGTTTCACGTGGACCAGACCGGGCTTAGTAGGGCATATATTATAGTGAGATCCTTGTGAATTATGTGTTTGTTTTGGGTTCTTCAAAGCCCCCACGTTTGAAGCACCCATAGGATGATGAAACACCACCCGCTGAGTATCTTTGTGGGCAGAACATCATCTAAATAAATTTCATATCCTGCATCATGGGGTTTCAGAAGCTGTTCATTCTGTTGTTCCGTAGTTAGCTCTCTAAGGCTCAGGCTGTGTCCTGAGGCCTTCCCAGAAGCAGTTCTCCCTCTGGTGCATGTCACCCCTCTAAGAGATCTCTTCATATGATCGCTTATTCCTGCCCTTACTTTACTTCTCTCTTGGAAACTTACCTGCTGGCCTTCAGGAAGTGTCCCGGGGTGGGGGGCGGGCAAAGGGGGGAGAGTAGACAGTAAATCTGAGAGATATATGATATTACACTTCAATTAATTTTAAGTGGCTGACAGCTAGTAAGATAAAGAAATAGGAATTTCTAAAATATGTTGGTTCAATTGCACTTGAAATGTTGAGAAGGAAGGACGTCCCGACCGTATATCGAGCATGCCACTAAATTCACCTGCAGGAGAGCAGTGTGCAGAAGCGTTTCTGTATCATGGTGGGGAAAAGCGATCGGGACGAGAAGGCGCAGCTTCTCCCTCGGATCTGTGGGTGACTCATTCCACCCTCCGGGGCGGGGACTGAGGCCCCGGGGGGTGTCTGATCCCCCGCTGCTCGGGCTGGGTGCGCCTTCGGTTGTTTCCAGCCGCCGCCTGAGTCTCTGTCGCTCACCCCGATGTCTTCCAGGCTTCTCCGCGTACCACGGAACCGACGGCTGGACCTACCATCACTCTCAAAAGCCCATGACCTGGGAAAACGCGAGAAGGTTCTGCCAACAACATTACACCGACCTCGTCGCCATTCAGAACAAGGGGGAGATCGAGTACCTGAACAAGACGCTCCCCTTCAGCCGCTCCTACTACTGGATCGGCATCCGGAAGGTGGGAGGCGTGTGGACCTGGGTGGGCACCAACAAGACCCTCACGGCGGAGGCCGAGAACTGGGGCGACGGGGAGCCCAACAACAAGAAGTCGAAGGAGGACTGCGTGGAGATCTACATCAAGAGGGCCAGGGACGCGGGCAAGTGGAACGACGACGCCTGCCACAAGCCAAAGGCGGCGCTCTGCTACACAGGTGGGCCGTCTGTCACACGGGTGGGCCCTCTGTCACACGGGTGGGCCGTCTGTCACACGGGTGGGCCGTCTGCTACACGGGTGGGCCCTCTGTCACACGGGTGGGCCGTCTGCTACACGGGTGGGCCGTCTGTCACACAGGTGGGCCGTCTGTCACACGGGTGGGCCGTCTGCTACACGGGTGGGCCCTCTATCACACAGGTGGGCCGTCTGTCACATGGGTGGGCCCTCTGTTACACGGGTGGGGGGCCCGAGTGGGGGGGGTCTCAGGCTTGGCCCGTGCCGACGCCGGGGAACGAGCACCCGCAGAGCGTCCCAAAGCCAGCCCCCCCTCGGCATCAGCTCAGACCGCGCCGCCGCCGAGCACCTGAGGTGTGCGATGTGTGAGGCCGCCCCGAAGCTCTACCCCAAATCTGTTTACATCAGGAGGAAGGGGTGCCGGGGTGCCCAACCTGTGACTTGTGGGTGCCATGCAGCCCAGGATGACTGTGAAGGCAGCCCAGCACAAAACTGTATGTTTACTTAAACCATAACGAGATTTTGTGTGTGTGTGTATATGCGGGATCACAGCTCACAGTGTGTTTAACGTGTGGCCCAAGACAACTCTTCTGCTCCCGGCGTGGCCCAGAGACGCCGAAAGCTGGGACGCCCCTGGCTCAGGGTCCCTGCTGATACGGCAGGAAGCGCGGGGAGCGTGGGTGCCCATCACCTCGGTGTCCTCCTGGTGACGGAGGGGGCTCACGTTTCCCGCGTGGCCTGGTCCTGGAGTTCGCCACGATGCGACAGGGTGGCGTGTGTTCCCTGTGGTCCGTAAGGCGTCCACAGAGACGTCAGCCGCAGTTCCCAACACTGCAGACTCTCCCGAGGCCCGTCTCCACAGTGGGACAGAGCCCGTCTGGCCCCGGTAAACTGGACTCTCCATGACATGCACACATACGGACTTTTTAATCCTTCTAAGGCTCTTTCTGCAAAGAAGGAGGCGGCCAAGCAGTCTGGCTGCAGAAATGGCTGGAGCCGGGCCCTCCGTTAACCTGCTACTTACGTTAAAAACAAAGCGACTTCAAGAGTTTCCACACAGGTCACTACGCCTCCCCCCGAGCGTGAGAGAGTGTCCGTGCTGACAGACTCATTCTAAAGACGCGCACCCATGGCTATGTGGCCAGTACCTCACAGTAAGAGACATTTTAGCATGTGCTTGGCATGCAGAGGTCCTAGGAATGCTGCAATAAAGGGTTCCTGTGTAGTAAGATAAGCTCGGCCCCGAAGTTGTCTGGGTCTCAGAACGATGACTGTGAGCCCTAAGAAATCATCGCCCCAAACTGACATCTTTCCCACCCCCTTTTCAGCGTCTTGCCAGCCCTGGTCATGCAGCGGCCACGGCGAGTGCGTGGAGACCATCAACAACCACACCTGCCGCTGTGACTCGGGGCACTACGGGCCGCAGTGCCAGTTCGGTAAGCCCCCTGCTCCTCCCGGTCTCTTCCCGTGGGAAGTCGCAGGGGCAACGGTGGCCTGCAGAGGCTGGGATGACCTGGTACGCGCCCCTCTGAGAAATGAGAAGTTTCCATCAGAGGGCCTTGCTTGCACAACGTGGGGGCTTTTCTGTAAAGACTCCTCGAGGTCGGGAGGGGGTTTCCAGCCCGCCTTCTAGCAATGCACGGCTGAGTTTCTTTCCGACGTTAGAGTTCTAACCAGTCCAGTGCGCTCCCTGTGGGTTTCCCAGAGCAGGACCCTACCACGCCCGAGGCGTGGCGGTCACGTCTATGGCTCTGTTCTCGGTGGCCCTCGGAAAGACACGTTGAGAAGTGAATCGAAACTCCATCCTGACTTACGAAATCTTTACAGAAAGGTACCAGCATTATGCAAGCCCGGCCTTGTGACGAAAACTTCTCCTTTCTCAGAATGGCGAGTATCATGGTGTCCTAGGTCACTGGAAGGCAAGGTCAGGAAAAAGAGCTCACATAATGATGTCCAGCGCATAGAGGCCAGAGGTAGGAGAAGCCCAACATAGTTACCTGGGCAGGTATCTCAGAAGATGGAAAGGCAAGTCTCTGGGAGGGTCTGCCCTTCAAGGATTTACGGTTAGGTAGGGGAAGTGATATATGCTCGTAATTTACTTTGATGGAAAACAAGATAAGCTAGCGTCAGCTTGCGGGAACTGGAAATTGCTCAACGAGGCAATCTGGCCCTCCTTTGACAAAGGGAGGCAACTGGGTCTCTTTTAAAATTGCAGTTGCTGGGTGACATTGGTTAATAAACTGTTACAGGTTTCAGGTGTACGATTCTATACCCCACCGCCTGTCCACAGAGGTACTGCGTGTCCGCCGCCTCGAGTCCAGTCTCCTTCCATCACTGTCCAGCCCCCTTTACCCTCTCCTACCTCCCCGCCCCCGGCTCATTTTCCTGGTAATCACCCTCTGTTGTCTGTGCCTATGAGGGTTTTTTTGTTTTTTTTCTGGGGTTTTTTGGTTCTTAATGTTTAACAGCTGGGCCTGGGGCCATTCCGCTGGGAGCAGGGCAGTAGCCCAGAGAGCAAAGGGAGAGAGGACGGAGAGAGCCGTCAGGGGTCCGTGGGAACCCCTCGCAGCCGTGGGCACAGGCGCAGGAAGGGCCCGGGCACGCAGATGCAGGCAAGACCAGCCCTTGCCCCAGTCAACTCACTACCGAAAGACACATCAAATCCTTTGACTGCTATCGATTGAGTTTCAAAACTGTGTTTGAAGTCGCTGGGGCCTGAAATACAAAATTACAAGGGGAGAGAGAGAGAGAGAGAGAGAGAGAGAGAGAGAGAGGGAGAGAGAGAGAAAAGCACGTTTGTAAAGAATAGATAAAGACACAAAGCCCAAGTAAATTTGAATGTCAACCGACCAGAACCTACCTAACTCATCTCCCTCGACTGCAGCGCCGCGACAGCCCCCACCCAACACTCGGCCTCACGCCACACCGAAGCCTCATCCTCGAATTCCTACCTCACCGGCGCGTCCATGCCTCTCCTGGCTCAACATTCCCATCGTTTCTTTCCACCCTGCCTGCCACCACCTCCCTCTCTCCAGGAGCTCTTTCCGCCTGCGGTCGTTTCTCTTCAGTCTCCCTGCCGGGCGCCGGTCCCAGCCCACGTACCGCTGGTATTTCTCATCTCCTACCTTTTTCCATTGCCCTTGTGGCCGTCCATGTCCCCTCTGGTCAGACCTGCCAGCTTTTCTGAACTCACGAATCTGTGTGAGCTTCGGGCCGACAACCTGTTTGCAGCCGTGAGCTCCGACCAGGCCGAGCACACCCTCGGGACGCCCGCGTGGCACCGCTGTCCTGGGCAGTTTCCCTTCTGCATTCCTCAGCGCCTCGCGTGGTGCCGCCGTCCGCACGGGCGCTCTAGTGTGCAACGCTCTCCCCAGCCCTACGTTTCTGCAAGTGACACACTACTCATGGTTTATACATTGTCGCTCCGGTTTGTCTCCTCCTCGTCAACCCGACTACCATCATCCTCATCAACTTCCTCCTGGAGGACTGCCGTGATTTCTTAGCTGGGCCCCACGACTCTAAATCAGTGACCCTCCGGAAGACCAGTGCCGTATGATCTCACTTCTACGTGGAATCTAATGAGCGGAATAAGCTGATGAACAAAATGGAAACAGAGGCACGGACACAGGGAGCAGACTGACAGCTGTCAGAGGGGAGGGGGGTGGATGAAAGAAGCGGAAGGGATTAGCCAAGGAACGTGTCTGCGTGACCCACAGGCACAGGCGACAGACAGGGTGGGGATGGCCCGAGGGAAGTGGGGGGCAAGGGCTGGGCGGAGGTGGGCAAAGGGGGGGGATGGGGATAGCTGTAATGGTGTATATAATATAACATAAATACATACATTCATGCATACATACATGCATGCTTAAAACTAGTGCCCCTCAAATATATTATTCATACTATAGCTAGGCTGACCAACCAAAACAGCCAAACAAACATCACCTGTATCTGACCATCCACCCTTTAATTTCCACCTATCATTTGTGCTACAGGAGAAAAGCTAAACTCCTCGAGACCCAGAGTGATGCTGGTGCAGAGTAGGCATTCACTGAATCAATGAGAGCAGACAAGAGCCTCTTGTCTTAGCTCCTATCTCTCGCCCTCCTCTCATCTCATCCCCGTCTCTCCTTCCCATCCCGATGGTGACATCAGAGAGCTTGCTGTTCCCCGCACCGACCACGGGGGCTGTGTGTCCTACTGACTCGCTCGTGGATTTCTCTTGCGTTTTGTACATGGCCGATGCACCCGTTTATCTGCAAGACCAATTTCAGGAAGATTTCTGGGTGCCCCCAAACAGGCTAAGTCTCCGTCTGTTTTGTTCCGATACCTCCACATGCATCTTCCTTATTCCCCCACGTTTGGGGAGGAGGTCACGTGCTTAGCAGTCTGCATCCCCTGGCAGCCTGACAGCGACCTGAGAACAGCGGGCACCTTGCCGGTCATCTCATCGGTAAGACGGAGACTGTGCCTGCACTATATTAAGCGCCCACTTGCATGGGGGCACGGGTTGAACTGGAGCATGTAATTTATTTTTGTCTGGACTTGGAATATACATGAAAAATGCAAGAAGTTTCTTCCAGTTCCTTGGATCCATTCCTTGTGGAAATCTCAAGAGCAAGCTGACAACAATGGCTCAGATTCAGTCGGACATAAGACGTGAGAGTTGCAACATCTGCCCGATGGCACGGCAGGCCTGCAATGCGGAGACTGGTTTTCAGGTCTTCGTCTGACCCACTAAAACCACCGGTCAGCCAGAGCAAGGCCGTCGACGCAGCTTTGTCAGAGGGCCGTCGGCGTCATCAGAAGAACTGGAATTCTGGAATGGAGCCAGAGAGGGCGAAGACAGACTCGAGGCTGATGTGCTTCCTGAAGCGTTTATCTCCCCCACTCCCCGGTGAAGAAGACCAATGCAGACACCCACCCTCCCTCCAAACCGCCTTCCCCCAACACTCGAATGTACCCCGTCATGTCCAAACTGAGCTGATCATTCCCACCGACACCTACTTGGGTTTAAAAATTCCCTCCCCAGATAATGCCAAGGGTCACTAACTAGAAGATGAGCTAATGTCCCAAGAAGACATCCCACGAACGAGGCTCTCTTCTGAGTCCTTGCCTTGCACCAAGTCCCTTCACCCCCCACCCCCACCCCACCGACTGCAGGAGGTGAATGCAGTTGGCATTCTTCCTTCTCCATAGCTGAAGCACCTGCAGCTGCAGGGGTTAAGTGACCTGGCTTAAAGGCACTGGGTCACCGGGCCGTCTCAACAGTACCCAATGCTGTCTCTTTTCTTACTGAAGTGATCCCGTGTGAGCCTTTGGAGGCCCCGGAGCTGGGGACCATGGCCTGTCATCACCCCCTGGGCAACTTCAGCTACAGGTCACGGTGTACCTTCGGTTGCCCCGAGGGGACGGACCTCGTTGGGAGCACGGAGACCACCTGTGGGCCATCTGGAAACTGGTCCTCTCTGGAACCAACCTGCCAAGGTGAGTGGGTGTCTGGACCGGGGGCTCGGCCACGGTGCTCCTGAGCTCACAGACGGAGAAAGTGCAGGAGGGTCTTGCTCAGAAGTCTGTATCCTCTTCTGGAGCATAGTTTAGCCTGAGGCTACAGACTGTGATGCTTTTCAGAGAGGTAATGGTTACTAAAATTCCAAAAGAAAACCTGCAAAGAAAAGTAACCACCAAATACTGCTGGAGTCGTCTCACAGTCTCACAGTGTGTGGGTGATTCTCAGCAACAGGCAGGGTTACACAGTGTTTTTTTTTTCTTCTCATTGTCATGGAGTAAATAATCAGTCTTGCTGAACCTCAGTTACAGGTTGCTTATTCTCTCCTCTCAGTAATACTTGTTTTATGTGGTGTCCTACCTAACACCGAGCAATTTCCTTCTCAGAGGGTAGAGGTCTTTTTTTTTCCATTGTTTTATTTGTTTATTCTTAAAATCGTGTTTTACTTTTTCTCTTCCACGAACTCTCAGGAGAATAACAACTGCCATGAAAACAAAAAACACAGTGTCTTGATTTGTTTTTTTTCTGTTTGAAATACGGTGCACGCTTTCTCTTTAACTACGGTGATGCGTGTGCAGAAGGAAGCTGGTGGCGTCTGAACGTGTGAAGTTTTGGTTTACAGGTTCTACATGCACGCTTCTGACTCACTCGTTTAAGGGGCTGGATTCTCAAAATAACTATCAAAACCATTTATTGAAACCATTTATTGAAATCACAGCACTGAATCGGGCAGCGCGCCGAATGTTACAAAAGTTGAGAGATGTGCGTCAGAGAATTGGGATGTTTCTCAAAGTCGCTGGGGTAGACTTGAGAAGAAGTGGAAGGGAGGAGGTGCTCCATTCTCATGGGGAAGACTCCGCCGGAGCTCGGGAGGCGAAGGACAGGGAGCGAGGGCCCCTCCGGCAGACGTGGGGGGTGACACCCGGAAGGGCCAAGCCTCCCCTCCTCTCTCCACTCCCCGCCGCCCCCCCCCCCCAGGCCTCCCATGCACCCCTGGCTCGCGGCTCCCCATCGTGCTCGCAGCAGCGGAGTCTGGAAGCACGACCAGAAGTGATGTCTAGATTAGACCTGTCCTGAGTCGCGTGGAGGCCCCTCCACTGAGTCGGGCGGCTTTGGCCAGAAAGCTTTGGTCAGGCGAGGGTCTCTGCTCAGAGTTTGTTGGTGTTTTGTCCCTTTTCCGTTGAAGCGATTCGGTGCGAGCGTCTCACAGGACCTGATTTGGGGAACGTGAGCTGTACTCACCCCTTGGACGAATTTAGCTTCAACTCCTCGTGCACGTTCAGCTGCTCAGAAGGGACCGAGTTAATCGGAGAGAACGAAACTACTTGTGGATCGTCTGGAACCTGGTCGAGCCGCACTCCGATATGTCAGAGTGAGTCAGTTGGCCCCAGTGCTCTCGAGGCTTTCAAGAGGGAGCGGAGGGTGGGGAGAGATACACCAAACCTGTCTGTGTACAAAGGCTATGTCTCTCTCATGTCTCCGTACCCTCTGCCCGGCAGTGCCTGGCAGGGGGTGCTGCATAAATGCTCCTGAAATCAGCATGGCAAAGACTAGCCACCCAGGTCTTCTCCTGAGGCCACTGGCACCAACGACAAACGTCTGTGCATGGCGGTACCTGCGGAAGCTACCAGGGAACTGCTCTCTGTGGGGCCCAGGCCAGGGAGTAGGGCAGGGGGTCGGGAGGAGGGCGGAGTCCACAGGGGGCCACCCGATGCCAGGCTACAGGACCTCTCCTTCTAAGGCTGGGCTAGTGCCCAGGTCCTCGTCCTCCTGCAGACAACAGGCGCCCCCTGTTCGGATGCCCTGGGGCCTTGAGCCTCTTTTCCATTGTACGGTTGGGTGGGGGATGGAAGCACCTTGAAAGGGCCCCTCAAAGTACCGCCAAGAGTGAGGGATGCTGGCGGGCCCTGTGCCGATGTGCCAGAGGAAGTTCCCGAAGTTTTGGGTGCTCTCAGGTTAAAGGTCGCTCACACCGGTGTGTTTTCAGGGACAGTTCCCAGATGAGCTCGGTTCACACTCACGAGAAGATCTGGGAAGTGTCCCTTTGAAGGAGGGCGGGCGTGGGAGGGCTGGGCCGTGTGGATGACAGACAGGTCAGGGCAGGCCGCCGGCGTGGGAACGGCTGCCTCTCACAGTGAGAGCACGAGGAGTTCCCTGTGGCTGGTAAGGAGCCCGGCTCAGGTCGCTGGCTGTCCTTTCTCCTGTGGCTGTGCTGACCTTTCAGCTCTGCTCTGCGTCCAGGTTCCTGACCGCGGCCCAAGGTCACGGAGCTCGGTGCTTCTTGACCACGTCTTTACGGGCATCTCCCAGAAAGTCCATCAGTTGCAAATCTGGGGATCGAGACCCCATTCGCACGCTCTGGGCTGGGAAAGCCGGTCCGGGCTTCGCCTCTGCTGTGGACTCACCGCGGGCCTTCCATGCCCCTGTGCCCCCGTCAGGTGGCACCAAATGGGCCCTTACTGGGAGGTGGAGGGAGGGAGAATGTCATGAAATGTCGCCGGAGAGGCGGGGCCCGGGGCCTCACGTGGGGCGCCCGCCTGCTTTCTCTTCCAGAGCTGGACAGGAGCTTCTCCTTGATCAAGGAGGGCGACTACAACCCCCTGTTCATCCCCGTGGCCGTCATGGTGACGGCCTTCTTGGGCATGGTGTTCATCATTTGGCTGGCAAGGCGACTCAAAAAAAGTAAGTGAGCTTACCTTCCTATGAAAAGAATAATCGTGTAAAGAGGAAAAAAATTAGAATGCCCACGGGAAACGAGGTAGGACTCCATGCTCCGTGTCCCGTCGAGGCCGGGCCTGGGAGACGGGCAAGGCGGCCAAGGGTACGCTGGCATTGCCATGGGGGCTGCTTTTCGTTTTTCCTCCAACAAACTTAAAAAAAAAAAAGGCCTGCTATCCTCAAGGCGCCTTGCTGGGGCGGTGACGGACAAATGGTCCTTCGTTCGTACTTCACTCTGAACCAAAGGGCTCCTGAGCTCTGTCCTCTGAGGGCTGACGCACCTTCGATGTCAGCGCCGTGGCTCCTCTTGGGAATGAATGGAAGGTCCAGGGACGTTTTCAGGGCGCTGCCCCCAAACACCTGGCCTCATCCGGGGACAGGCGCCTGTGTGGCTGCCAACATGGAGGAGTCCCCATGTTTCCTCCCCAGTGTCTGTTCACGGGGGACACAGCCCCAACAAGGCACCACACACTCCTGCCTCCCCTCCACCCTGGCCTGGAGAAGGAAGGGGAAGAAGGGAGACCACCTCAAGAGGCCAATACTGCCCTAATGGCAGGTGAACTCACGGGGGAAGGGCAGCATCCCTCGCCCACCTGCCCCGAGGCCACCCCCTAAAGCGGGACCACCCTAGGGTTACAGGCCCAAAGTCTGAGGCAGACCTCGGGGGTGTGCCGCCGTGTTTGGCAGAAACATTCAAGACTCTGAAATTCGGGCACATTAGGCAGCTTTTAACAAAGCCCTGCTTCCACTCGGGGCCAGCGGTGACCTTGAAACAGCGGCTAAGCAACTGCCCTGGGTGGCCTTTCCACGGGCGCTGATCGCCCTCCCATTCCGCGGCTTCCGTCACAGCCCCAGCAGTGGGCATGGCACGTAACAGCCGCCCCTCCCACCCACCCACCCTCCCTGGCAATTGTGGGAATGGTGTCTACGAGTTCCCAATGGTCTCCCACTAGGATTTGGTGGTTCATCCCAAATTTAGGAAGAGAGGGGCCACATCAGATTTCTAACCAACTCAGAAAGACAGTGAAGGGGGCACCATAGACGTGCAAGAACTTCGCTAACTGTCACCAGAGAGCCCCGAACAGTTAAAATTCCTCTGCTCTTGCTGTGAGAAATCTGCTAAGACTGGGTCCCACTGACTCACAGTGCGATGCTAAGAACAGAGCGTTGCACAAAGGCAGAAAGAGGAGATGGCTCTCCCGCTACTGAAGGTCATTTCCACTGGGACTTCAAAGCCTGGCCCCAGCTGTCCTTTCAGTCCTCCCAACTTGGGTGACGTGGGCAGCGCTGAGGACTGTGGGTACGTACCCACCGCCCTCTGGGTGAGGGGATATCTAAATAACCTTTGAGGACTTCGGGGCTGCGAGGCAGCTCTGTAAGGAGGGTATGGATTCCCAAATTCTAACGTTTTAAAATAAGTGGTAGTAGAATCAAAAGGGCAAAACTGGAGTGACGTGTACTCAGCTGGGGGGTTGGCGAGCTGGCTGAGGCTGTGTTACAAATGTGGGGTACAAAAAAAAACCAGCAGAGGGGTTGTTTTTACATTTTTCACCTTGGAGTCATTTCTGTACAAGATCTCACCCTGATAACGTGACAACGGCGTGCCCCTGCTGTGGGAATCGGTGTGGGGCAAACAGGAAGCAGAGAGCGGGCAGCTAGGTGAGCTACGGTTGTGCCAGCAGAGAGAGCAGAGGTCCCAGAAGATCACTGGCGGTGCGGGGAAGCCGGGGTGTCTCTACAGTGGCGTTCAAGGGGTCCTCGTTTCTGAAACCTCTTCCGATGCCTCCAACTTGGAAGCGACGTCGTCCTCCCGAAATTTTAGTTGCAAGTTCGTGGGAACATGACAGATCTTTTTCCTATAGAGCTCATGTCAGAAAATGGTGGGCAGGCCCCCGGGCTAATCCCCGAGAGGTTTTCTGACACCGTACAGCTGATGCGTTTACAAGAACAAGAGCCGAAAGCAAGAACTCTGGCTACAGATAGGACTCGTGGACTCTGAGGCTTTCGTAGGCTTTGGGGGCTCGGGAAGCTGGAAAGAGGGGGCAGCTATGTAGAGCATAGTAGCCAGTGAAAAGACCACGATCTTGACTTCTGTCCTTCCGTCCTCGCATGGATCCTTTGAACCTGCACTTTGACCCCCGCGCTGGGTGTCGGGGTACCCAGACTTGACTCCTTTCTTTTGAGAAAGGAGAGGGGCGGGCCGCGGGGGTGAGCCCCCCTGCGCCCCGGCTTGCCCAGAAACCCCCTTTCCCCGCGCATGACCCTCCTCCGCTGAGTCACTGTCTCTGGCCCCGTTCGGAAAGGAGGAAGCCCAGGCAGGAATGTTTAGGCCGGATCTCTGCAGCCCCCGGAACGAACGTCAGCGAGGCCCGGACTCCGACGCCCCTCCAGCCGTGCCCCTGAAGGCCCGCGCTCTATTTTTCTTTCCTCGGTTGGGAGACTTATCCTCCTGAACCGACTCACAGGTTAGAACGGGGCCCGAAACTGTACACATGCCCCTCAGTTCCCCTTTCTTCAAAAAAAGAAACTCTCTCAGCAGGAACAGACGTTTGCTCATGCATTGTTACGCGTTGCATTGTTCCTAAGAGAAGAGTGTGTACGAAAACAAACAAACAGAACTCTGAGATGAATTCAGGTTTAATTCTCTCTGCTCAAGTGTATGGGGTTCCTTGCCCTCAACGGGCTGAGTTTTCGTGGAGGCAATGCTGAAAACCGCAATCTCTGACATTTAAAAAAAGTTAAAATAGTAATTGAACACTATCTAAGCTCTGGGCTCCGCACTAAATACTTTGAATACACTCTGTAAATCCACTCAGCGAGGGAGACATAATGTCATGTCCTTCTCACAGAAGGAGAAAGCGTGGCGTGGAGAAGGCAAGTAACCGTTCGGAGACACACTGCTGGCGGCAGGCAGAGCTGACGTCCAGAGTGAATGCTTCCAGAACTCCGGTTTTAGCCACTGACATGTATTGCTTCCCAGGGATTTTTTTCCTGCTCAAAAAGTTTTTTTGGGGGAGGGGGTGTTGGGGATTTTTTGCTTTTATTTCACCACCACAGTTCATTCATGTATCTACTTATTTATTCTCTGCTTTTTTTAAAAAAAAAAAGCCATGTAATTTACAAAATGCATTCACCATAACAAGTTAAAATTAGTTAAACCCAGTGCAAAAGCAAGAAAAAGAAGGTCAAAATGAACTTCACAAAAGCAGGCTGGAGCCGGGCGCAGGGGGAACACAGAAACACGTGTCCCAGAGCCCTGTCCAGGTGGTTGGAGGGGCTCTCTCCGTCTGGCCCGAGGTCCCTTGCAGCCAAAGAAGGAAGCCTGATCGGCGCGGTGAGTCACTGTGTTAGTCAGATCAGAACACGCCAGGTACTGAGGCACAGTGTGCCGTTCCCACCGCCGAGGCCGGAGGGAGACGTGCGGGCGGGCTCCCTTAGACCAGGCGGCGGGAGGAGGAAGGATCAGCAGCGAGGTCTCCCAGGGAGGCTCACACCTGTGGGGGCGGGGGCGGGGCAGCTGCGGAGCACGGCAGGTGGGGAAGGCAGAAACCCGTGGACGGGTACCCTGGGTCTGACCGTCGCACGCCGTGGGCTGGACTTGTCTTCGCAAGCAGCGCCGGAACCGTGGACCGGAACCGTGTCCTGCCCGGGTACCGGCCCTGTTTGGGGGGGGGACATTAACCCAGCACCGCAAATCGGCTCAGACACAGGTGGGGCCCACCCAGCAAATGGGTGGTACCACTTCAGAGGGCAGAGCCGAGGGTGGGGGCCTCTCTCTACTCTTACTGTAAAACGTTGAAATGGCTTACTTTTGCTGATGCCACTTTTCTATTTCTTCTATTTTTAGGCAAAAAGTCACAGAAAAGGTAAGTTTTATCAGTTTCTGCATCCGCTGCTCTATTCTCTATCTTTCTAAGATGCTTCCTGTCGTAGACGCATTGGCTCCTCAGTGGTTATTTACGTGGGGCCTCACTCAGATGGAGCTTCCAGATAAACCCATCCATCGGTCCGCCTCCCCTAAAAGCCGAGGCTTTTCGGTGTCCGTGGAGCTGAAGGAATGAATGAAAAAGCGATGCCCCGTTAGGAAAAGGCGGTGACGTAAAAGGGAGCTCTTTCCGATTGTCCCCGAATTTGTTTTTGAGGATTGGACACCTCGGGCTATATTTTCCCTTCTCACCCTGCTGAACACGAGGGCAGTACTATGTACGGTATCGAGGACGCATCCACTGCGACAAGTATGTGCTGGGAAACCGTTGCACCCCAGGTGCTAAGAGCAGGTGTGGCCCCAGGCCTCAGGTCCTCAGTGCTTAGCACGGAGCGGGTAGGTGACCACTGGTCTCATAAGCGCCGGCCTTCAGAAATCAGGAAAAAGGAGGAGCATAGGCTCCCCCTGCAGCTTCCCCAGAGGGGCCATTTTTTTCCAGTTTGGCCTTGAACCTCAGATTTCTCTAACCGGAGAAACACATCCTTAGAAGAAAAGAGGCAGGCGTGTGAAAAATGCGTGGCCCATCATGCAGAAGTGAAGACGGTGAAACATTCCCCGGTCTGAGAGGCTCGGTGGCTTGCTCTGACACGTTAAGAAGAAGCGTGTAAGTGAAACGGACTGTGAAGATGAGGTTTTTGGTGGCACGCTACGTACCCAGCTGGACGGTGAACTCCTCTCAACAGGCCAGGCACGGGGCGAGGGGGTCCCTGAGGAGGTCGGTTGCTGGTTCACACAGCCGTCCCACCAACCACACTTCGTCCCGGGGAAGCGGGGTGGGCTCTGCTCGGCGTGCAGGGCGCGAGGCAGAGAGTGAGGCCACATCGCAGAGTCAGTCAGAAGCCGCGTTGAAGGGCAGGGACTTTATGCTGAGGCCTCGGGGGTGTCACCGCAGGGCTTTCTGTAGGTGGATGTCGTAGTGGAATTTGTCGCTCAGTCATCTTTGCATCTGGCCTGTGGGGATCACTCTGTACGAAAGTGGGCAAAGACGAGACGTGGGTGAGTTTGGAGGCAAAGAACTGTTTTGGAGGCATTTGCAAGTATTAGGTTCAAACTGTCTCGAGAAGTGGCAGTGAGGGTGAGACAAGAGGAGATAGAATCAACTGAACATGGTTATCAGCTGGCTAAACGAGAGAGAGAGAGAAAAAAATCAGAGGAAGTCACCCTGGCTCTGGCTGGGGACTGGCTGAGGATGGTTGCCAGCCACCCCACACAGCACTACTGACTGAGACGGGAGAACGGAGAATGAGAGGTTTTGGTCGGGGGGGAGGGGGCCCTGGGCTCAGGGCCGTACAGGCTGAGCTTTCGGCGTCTGTGTCTCATCCACAGCCCGTGGCTCTGTCTGTGGCACAGGGGCTGCCCTGGGGCAGGAGACGTGGATTCAGGGGTTCCCGCTTTATGGGGGGTAGCTGCCACCGGAGGACCAGGCACCATCATGCAGGCCGTGTGGGGACGGAGGAGGATGTGGGAGACGGGGGGACCCGAGGGCATCCACAGCAAGGAAGAGGAGAAAAGGAGGAGGCTGCCAGGGAGTTAGGGGCAGAGTGAGGAGCGTACTCAGGAAAGAAGGAAACGGAAGCTGTGGGAGAGCCAGTAAGTGTCCCCTGGGCGTGCCAGGGCGTTGGTGGGGAGCCCGTTCTCGGCCTGAAGTCAGGACAGAGGTCCGATGGGCAGGGGCTGAGGACTCAGCAGCGGGGTGAGAAAGTGCAGGCGGAGCACACAAGCCCCCCTTTTGGAGAGCTCGGCCACCAGAAGATGAGGCCACTGGGGGTAGCGGGATGGCGCCACGGGGTCGGCGGAGGTCCCTTCCCTCCCTTACTCGACTGCCCTGTCTTCCACTTGATAGCGCCCGTGGGTCCCAGGCGACCTTGGGGCCGGCCTCCCTGCCTCTGTGGGCAGGAAATCCACACGGCGCCCGGGCGGGCCTCTCTCGTGCGCACACCCACTGAGTGAAAGTCTTCCTGGCACCGTCTCCCCCCAGCGCCTTCTGGCCACAGGAACCACCTGCGCTCTGGTCTCTGCTGGATGGAAGCAAGCAGATCAGTTCTGCTTTCCAGATGTCCCTGGGGGACAGGAAGGGTATCGGCACTGGGCTAATTCCCATAGGAAGCCCACTTCCACGGGAGGTTCAGCGGGTCGCTGATCTTGACACATACCCGTCCGTGGCTGTTTATGGAACACCTCTGGGCAGGGGCGAGGCCACGCTGGACTGAGACACTCAGACCAGTGAACCCTTGTCCTTGACCTCAGGGACATTATGTAGCTGGGGAGTTAGGGCAGAAATATTTTTTAAAAAGCAGGAAGACACGGAAGACTGTGGCAGTGGTCAACGGATTCTGTAGCGGATGAAAGAGCCTCCTTGGATGCAGAAGTTTCGGAATCACGGAAAGCCTCGTGAGGCCGGAACCCACCCAGACCCAAATGCGGAATACCCGCTTCAGGTCCGTGCTTTTGGAACTCGGGACTCTTGCCTCCCGGGTCGGGGCTGTGAATCCCGGACACCCCCTCCTCTGGTGATGTTTTTTTTTTTTTTTTCACACTGAAACCACTGTGGCGCTGGCACTGAGGAAGGGCGGGGTAGAAGAACCAGGGCGTGTTTCCAGAAAGAGGCGAAGGTGCAATGAACGCTATCACACTGCACACGTGTAGCAGTTATTTTTTAAGCCCTTGAGCTTAACGTTCACGGTCCTGGGTGTGTGTGATCCTATGAGCCTCTGGTTGGCAAGCCATGGACTGGGAGGGCATTTGTGGTTTCGATTCTTGCCGGGTTATTTTGACTCTTCTGCAAAGTGGTTCTGTTTATCACCTCATTTGGTTTCTAGTGTCTAAATTCTGCCCGGGTAAAAGCTACACCCAAGATACACAGGAAGATACGGTGCCAACCTCAGAGGAGGGTCTACGTGACATTCTGTTTTCACTCTGTCTCCGGGCTCTGTATTGGCAAGCACGTTTGCAGCTGCTGAATTGTGGTTTACCAGGGCAGTTGAGCATGGGAACAGCCTCTGAATCTGGTTCTCCCTCTGCGAGGTGCAATTGAGACATAGCGTCCCCCCCCCACCCTTTCCAAGAATGAGACAACTACTTCACACCCAAGAAGGTATCACTTACTTGATGAAACTAAATTTGTCACCCTCTCAAGTCACACCTCACCAGAAGCAGGCCTTGAGACTCAGCACCCCGGCTTACCTGAGTTTTGATTTTCTCCGATTTCTCTTTCCCTTTGGGCACATTGCCTACTTCTACTTACCTGACTGGCCACTGTTCAAAACCTGTCTGAGACACCCACACGCGCACCAGCTCCGAGGACCAAGCCTGGGCTGTGGGCGCTTCTCTGAGGTGTGCAAGGGCCCAGCAGCCGAGCATCCCCCGGGAGCTCAGCAGAAGTGCAGACCCCCAGGCACCGCCCACACCCGCTGGGGCGGCCGCTCTCCACACCTCGTCTGGGTGCGGTCACCTGCAAGGGTGCGAGGTGCTGCTTCAGGGCTTTCTGTTCTCACCTCCGGGCCTCAGGGCAGTCCCTGCATGTCGTCCAACCCACCGGAGACATTTCCTTTGCTCTTCTCCTGACCTGCAGTAAATACTTACCTTCCCCACTAACTCTTTCATTCTCGCCGTTTGAAGCTCCTTCATTTTCACTTATATTCTCTTGTTTTTCATTCAGCCTGAACGATCCCTATTAGACCGCCCTCTGGGGCCGCAAGTTCTCTGGATACTAACGCCTCCCTGGATCCTCCCGCCCCCGCCCCCCCATGAAAAGTTTCGCATGTGGCGCCTCCTCCTCCACAGAGATGGCGCATGTCCCATTCAGTGCATCGGAAAGGATTTCTGCAGGACCAGCCGCTGCTCCTCCCACCGCCTGCCTCGCCCGAGACTCCCGGCCTGCTGCTGTGGTTTATGTGGCTCAGAGTTTTATTCCCTTTTCCGTGGAGAGACAAGACCCCAGGGGAAAGGGTCACTGTGGAATGTGAAGACATCCGGTTTCTCGCTCTTTCTGGACTTTTGTTTCCCGTTCCAGCTCGGAGCTGCCCCTGACAACGTGCACTTCTAAATGCACCGGGAAGTCCACACGTATCAGCTGTGGTGCAGACCACCCTTTGCATTGTGGGGGTACATTCTTACGGAAAGTTAATAAAACTCATGTTATCCTTGCCTTCCAACTCCTGCAAAGTAGTGGGGCTCAGCTCTGCAAGGGGAAAGTTCTCCCTGCACTGCATGGCCCCATCTATAGAAGCAGGCCATCCTATGGGCCGCCTCCTGCCTCCCCTGTGCCCTGCTGCTCCCCTGGTCAGGGGCTGGCTCCCTGCCACAGCACCCCACGAGCACCACACCCGAGCAAAGAGAAGGCGGCCGGCCCGGCGCCTTGCTTTTGGATTTGGGTTTTGCTGTCTCTCTCAATTACGCCTGCCCAGATTTCTTTCACAGCCGCTACATTGTTGACAAAGAACATCGCCATCAGGATGCAGCTGCTGACAACATCTCTCCCTCTGATGTCATACAGGAGGGTTAAAACAAGTAGGAAGAGATTCCTTGCCCCATGCCGAGATGCTCCTCCTTCCCTGCCCCAAGTTCTCATATCTGCCTACCTAGATCCCATCATGCCTTACGCTTCATCTCAAGGACCCCCACCCTCACCGCTGCTTTCTTGACTAGTCCTTACCTAGGGCAGCGCATGGCCGTCCCCCCTTCCTGGCTGCCTACTGCGCGGTTAGTCTGAAATATGCGGTTTTGTACTTCAGTACAGCTTGGGTTTCGTTTTGTTTTGTTTTAATGTGACCTACTTTGTTGTTTTAAAAACTATCGTGTATATGTTTTCTCCCCAATAAAATTCCACCCTCCCTAAAGGCAGAGATTGTGCCACACGCCTGCAGCGTCTGGTTCTTTATTTGCCACTCAACAAACGTGCGCTCCAATAAGTGAGAGGGAGCCGATGGTGCCCGCGGGCGGGAGTTGCCGCGGACCCTCTCTCTGGCCCATGCTGACCTGAGCAGACACTCATCAGTGTCACGGGCTGACGTCTCAGAGGCCAGGAGGGCCCCGTGTAGACACTGCTGGAAGTCCTCCCGTGTCCCGTGGCCAGCACAGCCTGCATCCCCCTCTGTACAGGAGGTACAGAAGCTCTGAGGATGACTTTCTGGGGATGATCATGTTTTCCTTTCTCGGAGCCAGCTCTGATTCTGAGTCACAGCGGGGGCTGTTGTAAAGGTTCTCCGAGTTGTGCGCTGTGGCCCCGGAGCGGGGGGGTGCCACGCACAGTCTCGCAGCTCAGGGCAGGTCCCCCAGAGCTGAGCCGCGCACCACCCGCGCAGACTCCCTGGCAGCGCTGCCTGCGGGGCCTCGTCCAGCTGGCACGTCAGGGTCCGAGAGCCCACGGGGAGGCTCCTTCTCGGGGGCAAGGTGTGCATACGCTGAAAAGCACAGTCTCACGCTGGAGTCCTAAGGAATTACGGTCTTAGAAATTACATGACACTACATCTTTTTTAAATACAGGTTCATCAGACTCATAAAGAAAGAAAGAAAGATTCATAAGATAAAGTTCTCCAAAGGCTTTGGGTTTAACCTCCCCGAGGCTGAGCTTCCTGTTTCCTTGCCTATGACACGAGGAGGAAATATGCCTCGTTCGTCTCGCAGGGCATTTGTGACAGTCGAGTCAGGCATGAAACTGCTTTGTGAACTGAACCTCGATGCAGATTTCCCCCCGTTGCTGTCTCACCTTCCACGCTTTCTTGGTGTGGGGCTTGACTGGAAGCAGATCCGAGGCCTCTCCGAGGTTAGAACCCGAGGGCCCTTCTCGTATGTTCAAATGGGAGCCCAGTGCTCGGACCCTCACCAGAGGTCAGCCCCTCACCAGAGGTCAGCCCCGCTCCCGCTCCTGCTCCGCGCACTGGCTGTGGGGAGTGGGGGAGGCAGGAGCCCTGCCCGTGCCTCTGTGGCAGGACACTGCCGTCGCCATCCTCTCTGACTGTCAGATTCATTTATGAAATGGGGTGCCATTATGGGATGCCATTTGATCTGGAGGCCTCCAGATTAAATGACCCTGAACACCAGGCTTCGTGAAACTGACCGACGGGATCTAAGGGACACAGAACCACCTGTTTCTCTAGAAATGGTCACCAGATCTGTCCGGTGGATCTGGCTACATTATTTTAGTTCCCTGAATGTGGGTTTTATTCCATTAAGGTTCAGGATTCAGTTTTACGGCCCTGGCTCTGATAAGAAAAATCTGTCCCCCGAGGTGACATACTCCCCGTGAGTGACCCTAGTGTTCACCCTCGGCCTCCCTGAGACCATGCTCTGCGCTCTGACACACACTGCCGGAAACAGTCCCAGCTCCACAGTGATTTAATGAGAAATAGGTGAGTACTGCGGAAAATTAACGAAGTTATCTTCCAGGCATCTATGACTTCCCTCTCGGAGGTCCCACTCTCTGCCAGCTGACTCCTCCCCTCCTCTCAAGTCTCCTCCCACGTTCTCCTAAACCCCGCCCCCTCTGCACCGCAGGGGCGTGGCTCCTCCTCCTGCTCACGTGTCCCATCCCGGAAGGAAAAGCTGCCGCCACCAAAACAGCACACGGCCACGGCAAAGGACAAGGAAATCATCAGGAGAAGTAATGAGACTTGCACTTCCCCTCGGCCTTGGCAGTCCTGTCGAACCTGGTGGGCTCTCGGCCTCACCTGAGGAAGGAGCCTTCCCCGAGGGACCGCGAACAGCTCCACGGAGCGGAGCGCTCCTCGGCACCTGGGGGTGAAGCTTAGTCCAAGGAACAGATCTGGTGTTAGCGTCTGCGACTCTAAAGGCTCTGATGGCCGTAGCAGCCATCGGGACCGTAATAGCAGGGTAACAGACTTTTTTTAAGTTAATTACCTTAAACTCCTTTTTGTTGGCATCCAATGACCTTATTTGACACCCTAATCCAGATTGGGCGAAAACTGGCTTTTCTTGATAAGCCTCTCAGGCAGACGGCCAGACCCTCCAGACCAGTGTTGGCAGAGGCTTAAGGCCCAGTGACATGCACAATGTAACGAGGGTGATCTGTGCAAGAGAGTGCAGAGGATTTCGTTTTCTTCGCTCCCGTGAAGGCACGAGAAGGAAATGAGGAAGGTGACGGGGACAGAAGAGACGGGAAAAGTCGTGGGAACCAAGGACTCTGAGGGGCGGGCCCCGGCCTTTGAGGACTCATCCGGAGAGTGAATGTCGGGGGAATCGGTCCTGCTCGAACCCTCTGGGAGCTCTGCCACAGACGGACCGTGCTCAGGGGGCCTTGACGGGGAGGAGTTTAAGGTTAGAGGGGGTGCTTTCTCGGCCTGGGAAAACAGCGGAGATGGAAGATAACCACACAAAACAAGGTTGGAGCAGATATTTGGGAGAAACGAAATGGTTAGAAAAAAATCAATACCCATATAAACACGAAAATTAAGCTCTCTGTGAATTTTGAGAACTCGGAGAGAGAGGGTTTAGGGCTTCCGCTATTACCAACGTTTTTTAACCCATTGTGTCTGGATTTTAAGGGGCAGAGGGACCCTAATTGACCTCTGGCTTACATTCCTCGTAGCATTTAATCCTTGGCCACAGGCCTTATGCCCGTTTCAAATGTTATGCACGGGCTGGGAAACTGAGGCTCAGAGATACTAAAGATCTTGTTTAAGTCCACGTGACTAGCAAGAGTCCATTTAGTGGGTAAGGAAAGTACTATTAGAAAGAGCTGCGTGTCTTACGCTGAAGAGAGGAGGGAATAAACATTCATTCAAAGTGGATTTGATTTCTATCACTGATGCCGGACTGCTGGGCAGGCCGAAAGAAAGTGGCTGTTCCCCGTTACGTGAACGTCACCCTTGACAGTGACCCTGAGGGCACAGGCTGGGTCTCTTGACCTCAGCGTCCTTAGAACTCACCCCTAAACCTGGAGGACAGTAGCTGCTCGCCGTGGGTGTGGCGTGATGAAGGACCTAGAAGTGTTTAACCTGAGGAGAGGCGTAAGGCATGGGATGGTAGTTTTCAAGGGGCCAATGAACCGTCTGCCAAACCTTTGCCATGGCAAGAAAGGTTACCAGGGGCTGTGGACACATGGGGCAGAGTTCTGCCCCGCAGGACCCAGCAGTGGGGGTAGAAGGAGAAGGAGGCCCCTCCCACTGTGCGTCCAGGCAGTGTGCACTAGGGCATGCTGAGTGTGACGCCCGGAGGTGCCCCGGCCCAGCGGAGGGGAGGGAGCGCCGCTCGGCCGAGGGCTGCAGGATTGGTAGGAAAAACAGCGTGAGGGCTAACTTGCAACCAGAAGGTGAACTAAGTGTCTTAGACCGAGGTACTGAAGTCAGAGATGTCACATGGGTTTTACTGGCTTGGCAGGGGACCAGCAACAACAAGGGCAAAGGCACACAATAGCCCTCAAGCCCCGACGACAGCCTGAGAAGTTTATTCTGCAGTTTCTGGGAAAGCCAGAGGGAGGCAGGGACGTGATGACAGTGATATTCTGGGAAGATGAAAGGCCCAAGGGGTGAGGAGTAGGGAGAAACGGAAGCAGGGCACCTAGTCAGTAAACGTAATTAATCAGACATGATCATTAGGGTGGGGCCAGGAAGACTCCTCTGTGAAACACTGCCAACGCTTTGGTCTCCCACGGCTTGGGGTCAGGGGTCAGGGAGGGGAGCGGCAAAGGAGTGTAACAAAGCATTCAGAAAGGAAAAACACAAAACAAAGGTCTGGTTAAATATGGTTTATGCAAATGCTCTTTTTTTTTTTCAGAGATCTTATAGGAAAGTCCCTCTTTTGTTATATTTCCTCTGCATGCACCTATCTCCTTGATTCTTAATATAGGGTTGAGTCAAGGATATGGTAAACACGGCTTGGGATTCTCGAAGGCAAGTGGTGGAGACCGAGGATGGGAAGAGTCCCCAAACGAAGGACCCTCAAAAATGTGGGTTTGAATCAGTTCTGACCCTTTAAATGAAGGCGATCTGAGTTTAGTTTCAGAAATGCTATTTTGATGGACGCCCTGCTGCCGGCTGGTCATCCCTGCCTCAGCAGGCTGGGAAGCCTGGGGCAACGCCTGTCCGTGGGGCTCACCTTGGACAGTTTCACGTGGCCTTAGAATTCACCTGCAGAAGGCCCGTGTGATGGGTCACATGGCTGGCACCATTGTGCTAGTTCCTTCTGGAGCACCGCGTGAATGTCCCAGGTGAATCTCTAGCTCTTTAGAAAACGTACACCCACAGCAATGGTTTCCAAACTCTTCTGTTATGAGGAACGCTCATGAAAGTAAAAAAATACGCCTTGCCTGGAGTGAAGGTAAGGCCCAGAGATTAGAAAACACTGCTTTTCCTACACTCTGCAATATCTTGAAAGATCCCTACTTAACAGATGTTAGGATTTTCATCCTCGTCAGACAGTATAGCCACCAGTAATCCCCACGCAAACACACCCACGCTTGATGTCATGGACGTAAACATACAGAACACTTAGCAATCAGCCAGTTCTACTGCATGTGAAACACGTACAGTAGATAGGCTATGAAGCAGGTCAATGAATTTCAAAGAACTGGAATGATGGAGATCAAATTCTCTTCTACATGAGTTAATGATAAAAAATGAGCTTGAAAAATCCCAGTATGTCTAATCATTTTTAAAAATTTAAATAACTTGTAAGTAAAAAAACAAAGAATTTTGAATTTTTATAATTAAATGATATTTAAAATGCTATATATTAGCAATGGGGGAATGCAGCAAAGGAAATGTCTTGGAAGATTTTTCATTTTAGTGCTTACATTAGGGAAGCAAAAAAACCTAAAAATTACACACCCAACCTAAGAAGTTACAGAAGAAATGATAGAGTAAACCGAAACAGAGTAAAAAGAGAGAAATAAA